AAATGAATAAAATCTTAAAAAAAAAAGTTTATGTATTTGTTTTTAAGTAATATCTACACCCACCATGGGGCTCAAACTTACGACCCTGAGATCAAGAGTCGCATGCTCTTCCGACTGAGCCAGCCAAGTGCCCCCCCTTTTTAAGTTTATTTATTTACTTATTTATTTTATTTTTTAAAGATTATTTATTTATTTACTTGAGAGAGAGAGAGAGAGAGAGAGCACCTGCAAGTGAGCACAAGGGGGAAGGGGCAGAGAGAGAAGCAGACTCCCCACTGAGCAGGGATCCCAATGCAGGACTCGATCCCAGGACTCTGAGATCATGACCTGAGCCGAAGGCAGATGCTTAGCTGACTGAGCCACCCAGGTGCCCCTATTTCTTATTTATTTTTAAGTAATGAATTCTTAACAGTTCTCATTGATGAGAAATTTTGAATGTAATAACATTTCAATGCTTACAACTTAAATTTTATCTAGAGACTCTTAACAGTTTTCTTATCTTTCATGAACAAATGTAGCACAGAAATGTCCTGTGATAATCCAAGTGAATTTTGAATCCAAATGAACTTTTAGATTTTAAATATACCAAAATAACAATGAGCTCTAACTTACATTGTTTGAGCAGTCCACTTGCAGCTGACCTGGACATCACAAAAAGCTTATATCAACTAAAAAAGGCCAGGGGCGCCTGGGTGGCTCAGTTGGTTAAGCAACTGCCTTCAGCTCAGGTCATGATCCTGGAGTCCCAGGATCGAGTCCCGCATCGGGCTCCCTGCTCAGCAGGGAGTCTGCTTCTCCCTCTGACCCTCTTCCCTCTCATGCTCTCTCTCATGCTCTCTCTCTCAAATAAATAAAGAAAATCTTAAAAAAAAAAAAATTAAAAAGGCCAGACGTGTTGAATTAATTTGAAGACAGATTTGAGGCTGCTCTCTGGGGCTACTCCATGAAACTACATGCACCAGAAGCCCCTGTCCTATCTCCTTGGGTCTCCACCCTGCTAGCTGCACCTTAGGCTGCCTGCCGTGCTCCCTGGGCATTGAAAACATAAATAACTCTGGCACCTCAAGAGCTCCTTGCCCCCAATGGGCAGCAATGTGCCCTTTGACTAAATTTTCTGCCATTTAGGATGAACAGCTGAATGTTGCCCACCATTCTCATCATCTGTGGAGTACACAGGGATGCCATTAGACTTTATTCCATACTGGGTACCCTCGCCTCCAAGGTACCCAACCTTAAAGAAGGTTGCTTAGCTCTGCTTGCGGCTCATCCCAAAGACTGAGTGGATCAATAGCTTGTGGCACACCTACAGCATATTCACAGAACACAGTTGGAAAATCTGCCTTACGCTATTATCTCTTTTCACTCCTATATTTTCAACCCTTCTCTTTACAGGTTTTTCCCCTTTAACAATTATAGTCAAGTCTCTATGGAATTAAAAAACGAAAACCAAACTAACCTTCATCCATTCTTTATTTTCTCTTTAGCTACCACTCTATGACTTCCTTTCACCAAACAACGAAGCTTTGGGAAAGAGCAGTCACACTTTTTTCTATATTATACCCAATCACTCTTTTCTAAACCCACTGTTATCTAGGTATGAAACTACTTTCACAAAGTTATAGATAACCTTGTCGCTACACTTAATGGATAGTTCTTAGTCTTTATCAGCATTTGACGTGAGTGACTATTCCTTCCTTTTTGGGACATTCTCTTCCCTTGGCTTCTATAACATTACATTTTGAGTAATAAATATGTTGAGCGGGGTGCCTGGGTGGCTCAGTCAGTTAAGCAACTGACTTTGGCTCAGGTCATGATCTTGGAGTCCTGGGATCAAGCCCCATGTCGCATTGGGCTCCCTGTGGAGCAGGGAGCCTGCTTGTTTCCTCTCCCTCTTCCTCTGCTCCTCCCTCTACTCGTGCTTGTGCATGCGCTCTAATAAATAAAATCTTTAAAAAATTAAAAAATAAATGTGGTGAGCACTGTAAAGTCTATGGTGAACAAATAAGACACAATCTCTATCCTGACAGAGCATAAATGGAAATATGCTGAACGATAATTGTGATTATAGAATTTTAAGACTTCATCTGAAAAGACAAACTTTCTTGACACTGAAATTAAGGAGGAATTTATTACATGGGTTTCATTTTAATGAATTAATGAGTACCCTAAATAATTCCTTTATAATTATTTTTTTTGTTTTTTTTAAGATTTTATTAATTTATTTGACAGAGAGAGAGATAGCGAGAGCAGGAACACAAGCAGGGGGAGTGGGAGAGGGAGAAGCAGGCTTCCTGCCAAGCAGGGAGCCTGATGAGGGACTCGATCCCAGGACCCTGGGATCATGACCTGAGCCGAAGGCAGACGCTTAACGACTGAGCCACCCAGGCACCCTATAATTAATCTTTTTAAGTTATGTCTAACAAGTGGTCATTTCTTATGATGACATTTCATTAGATCTTACCTCTGTGCAGGTAATCTGAAGTGAGTTGATTTAATTTAATCCAAACAGACTGATTTCTGATGATCTCACAGTTCAAAATTAAAGCACCATAGTTCTCAATTTGCTAATAAATCCTGTAGCCTTATCAAATGTGAATCAGCTTCTAGTAAGACTTTGGATCTTACCCAATTTATGTTTGAATTCTTTGTTGCATCATCCAAGTTACCAATAGACTGAATAACCTCTAAATGCTATCATAGAAAACGACAGTTTACTTTGGAATGTTTGGAATCTTATTTATTCCCACAGAAAGAGCACCACACCCTTTCATCAATAAAAATCCAACTTATTGACTTGACTGCTGAGAAATACATGGGCAACAGAAAATATACTTATCAAAATAGCATATGCCTTGTGTTAAGCCTGGCTCAGTAAATATAAAGACTATGATAGAACTGGATTCTGGAGTCTTATGGTCTAGTTAGAAAGTAAATATCAGATTTTGCTTTAGCATAAAACCCACCAGAATGTCTTTTAATTCTGTTAGATGTCTTTTATTTATCTGTTCTTTTATTATAAAAATGTCCTCGACGAATTCATTGAAGAAATATTTATTGATTTCATAGTATGTGCCAATCATTTTGATGCCAGACAGACTCACAGATCTCTTATTTTAGTGAGTGGAGAGAGAAAAGCAATAAAAAAAAATTGTTCTAGATCATAAGTGCTATGAAAATGAACATGGTAACATGGAGAGTCATTGAGGATGTAATTTTAATTGGATGATCAAGGAAGGCCTCTTTGATGTGGTGCCATCAGCTGTTAACCTGAGACAAGAAGCCATGTGAACACCTGGAAGAACCCTGTTCTGGAAGAGAGAACAGCAAGTGCCAAGGTCCAGGCTCAGCTTAGCACGTCCCAGAAACAAAATGAATATTAATTATTGATGATTTGGGGAGTATATTTATCAGCCAAGGTCTCAGTCCTGAAAGAGTTCTGTAATAGAGACAGACTTAAGCAAAAAGATCACACTACAATGCAGAACTACATTGAAATGACAGAAGCGTGTACAAAGAAAAGAGGTGCTAAGAGGGAGGAGTGATCAATTCTCTGGGCTGTGTTTCAAGCAAGGCTTCACAAAGAAAGTAGTGTAAAAGTAGGATTTTGAAATACCAACAGAGTGAACCAGGCAGGGAAGAGGGTTAAGCTAGGGGGAAGAGCATACAGGGACTGTGAGCGCACAGGGCTGCAGGCTGTGTTTCTTGTTGAGCACTACAATACAAGAAAGTGAGGCTCAAGAGGACAGAGGCTGAGCCATGCAGGGCCTTAATATTCTGTGCATGATGGGAGCTATCAAAAGGCTCTAAAGAAGGAACCACAGGATTGGATTTGTGTTTTAGATAGATCACAGCAGGATGTCTCTCTTAAATATGCCTGTGGGAGAATAAATATAGGGCAGCTCCAGAGGCAGTGAAAAAAGGTGAAATAAGGCCAGTGGCAGAGGGGCTCAGAAAAGACGTAAGAAACCAGAGAGGTTTTTAGAAGTTGATGAAACAAAAACAACTAAGTAGAGCTAATTGTTCACAGTTGTTCACTGTTCACCAATAACTGTCAGTATCCGGCACATAGTAGGCACTCAATAAATACTTGTAAAATGAATAAATGAATCAATGGTGGCTGGCTGTGGCAGCAGATGCCTGATGAACAGAAGTCACGAGGCCCACATTCAAACAGACTCTTCCATTAACAGAGAACCATTGAGTGCTCGCCTCTATTCAGGCGTGTTGCTTTAGTCCTAACAACCCTATGAGACAAGTGTAATTTCCATTTTTTCAAACGAGAAAAGCCTGAGGCTCAGGGAGATAACGTGCGATGCCTGAGGTTCTAGAACCGGTCAGCAGCTGGACTCGAGACACCATGACACACAGCCAAGTGCGCATGCTTAATAATTACTTCCTATTACTTTGGCTTAGAGGCTCAAAAGAATGAAATAGATCGTGTAAAGCCCCAAACCAAAGAAATCCAAGGAAAATCGGTTACTTTTTTTTTTTTTTAAAGATTCTATTTATTTAACAGAGAGAGACACAGCGAGAGAGGGTACACAAGCAGGGGGAGTGGGAGAGGGAGAAGCAGGCTTCCCGCGGAGCAGGGAGCCCCGATCCCAGGAGTCTGGGATCGTGACCCGAGCCGAAGGCAGACGCTAAACGACTGAGCCACCCAGGCGCCCCTCGGTTACTCTTAACAAGAGGTTTAACAGGGTTCCCGAACTTTCCTGTCAGCCAGTCACTAGAAGGCCACAGACGTGCGTCACAACAGCCTGAAGCAAAGCCTCCTACGGCGGTCAGGGAGGGGGGTGGGGCGAGGTCCGGACCCGCAGAGGTGGCGCGCGCAGCCGCAGTGCAGCTCGCGAGCGCCGCGGCCTGGGGGAGAAGGGAGGAGGGACGGGCAGAGGAGGGCGGGGCCGACAGGCGTAGGCGCAGGCGTCCAGTCGGAGTCCGCTCGCCTTTAGGTTCCGAGGGGAGGTCTGGACGTCATTTCCTTCCGTAGGTCGCCAGTGCTTCCGGGTCGCGGTCATTTTGAGTCCGTATTTGGGTGAGTTCTTGGAGGCCGAGTGACTGTCTGCTCCCCACCCCCCAACTCCGCTGCAGTGCCGCGCGGCTGCCGGTTTCCGCGCGCTTTTTTTCTTTCTTGACCCTTCTCGGGTCCCCTCGAGGCCTTGTGCCCCCGATCGCCCCGGCTCGCCGCGCCGTCGCTCGCCGCTGTCGTCCGGAGGTGGGTGAGGTGACGCAGAGTCTCCATTCCGTACCCCCACCTGCCCACTCACCACCTCCGTGCGGCCAGCCGCTACTCTGCACCTTCCGCCATTTTGCCTCCTGCGAGGGTGGGCTGATCGCCTACTGGCTCTCGGGCTCCCGAGTGCGGGTGCCTGGGGCAGGCGAGGGAGTGATTACTTGGTGACTAATGTGTGTACCGGGGTGTTGCAGGTGGGAGACGCGGGTATTGCGGGGATGCAGTGCGTAAATCGGCCATAGGCCGACGAGGGTTCAGTTGAGCTTTTTTCTGTGCCATTAAGAGGTTAAAATTGTGTTGTCTGAAGAGGTCTTGTCCGCCCTGTCGCTAGGGTTTCTAAGTAAGATGCAGTTACGGGAAATAGCGTTTCATTTTTTTGTTTTAGGATATAGGTAGTCTATTTAGCAAGCTCCATCCATGAGTTCATTTTATCCTTTCCATTTCTTTTTCCTAGCCACGGGATTGACCTATAGTAGGCCCTCAGTGATGGTTTATTGATTGAGTGAAATATGGAAGGGCCTCAGTTGCTATCCTCACCGTGTATGGCTTTTCATGTTTTCATGTAAATGTTTTTTAAGATGGGAATAATGATGGTCCTGTGTGAACATTCTGTGAAATACGCAGGTATCCAATCTGTTGGTCTCTTAAGTCCTGAGACATGGGTTAAAAAATAAATAAAAACGTATATTCTTGTAATTTTTCATTTTTAAGTCATATAGTTTAAGTCTCTAGAGAGCGGGGAAAGTTAGGAGGATACGGAATTTGCTGTTAGCTTTAACCACAGGGAGAAGGATATGACGTCTTTGTTGTTCAGTTTGTGTGGAGTACTGCTTTGTGGGAGAGGTTGTATGTTTCCTGATGATTATTTCATTTTTTTTTAAAAAAATGGAGGCCCAGAAATGAATTTTGAGATGTTTCTTTTATTTTGGGAAGTCATCAAAATCTTTGTGCATATATTTCTGAAAGGACAAAAACAGGGTAATGTGAAATAACCCAGCTTCAGGAGGAGAAATACGTATATTTGTTTGAAATTTTATATCTTAATTTGACTTAATCTGTTGGTAAATAATTATAAAGGACCTATTCTTTTTCAGTTAGGGGACCTAAGATGAGTAATCAGTTCCAAATTAGTTAATAGGTCTGATGCTTTTTTTATTTAGGTCACTATTTTTATTATGTCAGGTACTTCAGATGTAGTAGTGATTAGTATATATTTGTTGCTTTGATTGCCCTGTAGACTAGTGATTTTACTGTGCTATATCTTAATTGATTTTGGTCTAATGATATCTAATACTTAAATGTTTTTGATGCAGGAAAAATGAATGGGAGGGCTGATTTTCGAGAGCCGAATGCAGAAGTTCCAAGACCAATTCCCCGTAACTATCAATTACATATTTATAATTAGAAGCACTTTATATGTAGAAACACTCACAGCCTTGAGTAACAGCAACTGGACTGGCTTCAGGGGTGTGTGACCTGTGCAGTCACAAGGGGACTCACTCTGTTTAATGATCTACTGTTGCCATCTTGAAATTCCTTTTTTTTTTTTTTAAGATTTTTTATTTATTTGAGAGAGAGAGCGCACGTGTGCGAGCATGGGGGGGGTGGAGAGGGAGAGAGAATCCCAAGCAGACTTCCTGCTGAGCCTGGGCTAGATCCCAGGATCCTGAGATCATGACCTGAGCTGAAACCAAGAGTCAAGACAGTTAATTGACTGTGCCACCCAGGCACCCCCATCTTGAAATTCTTAATAATTTGAATAAATGGTCCCAAATTTTCATTTTGCGCTGGACCAGCACGTTATGTAGCCAGTCCTGACTAATAGATAGTAGCACTAACTTCTCTTTGAAGTCAGTTTGCTAAAAGTTTACAAGCCCATTGTTTAGAGACTCTTTTTTTTTTTTTTTTTTTTTTTTAAAGAAAGAAAGAGAGAGAGAGGACCCGGGGGGGGGGGGGGGTCAGAGGGAGAAGCCGACTCTGTGCCGAGCAGGGAGCCCGATGCGGGACTCGATCCAGGGACTCCTGGATCATGACCTGAGCCGAAGGCAGTTGCTTAACCAACTGAGCCACCCAGGCGCCCGGGACTCTTTTAACTATGGGGAACAATCTGAGGATTGCTAGAGGGAAGGTGGGTGGAGGGATGGGCTAATTGGGTGATGGGCATTTAGGAGGGCACTTGATGTTATGAGCACTGGGTGTTACATGCAACTAATGACTCACTAAATTCTACCCCTGAAACTAGTAATACAATATATGTTAAATAAATTGAATTTAAATTAAAAAAAAAGTTTACAAGGCATTTGTTTCATTCATTTAAAAAAAGTGGTTGTGTTTTGTTAATGTTTAGACTGAATTAAATTTTTAGGCTTAGCTTTTCCGTGGGCGTTTTAATGTTTGCCAATTTTCCTTGGTAAAAAGACATAGGGGCTGATTACATTCCAACAGAAGAAGAAAGAAGAGTCTTTGCAGAGTGCAATGATGAAAGCTTCTGGTTCAGATGTAAGTTAAATTTTCTAATCAACAAAATTTGACCTTTAGTACCTGAAATTATTGTGACTTCGTATAGAAGAAATTGGCACACTTGGTGTAGTGTGGTTACTGCTAAAAGAAGTTGATTAAGGGAAACAAATTGTACATATTTAAAGTAATTTCTAGAACTTTATTCAAGACCATGAATTAATTTTGTTCATAACAGTAATAGCTAGCATTTACTGAGTGTATGTGGATTATATAAAAACAACCCAATTAGATTGATAACTATTACCCTCACCTTACAAATGAAGAAATTGAAGTCTAGAGATGTTAAATGAGCTGGTAAGTTGTAATGTCTGGACTCGAAGCCAGGTGTGTCTGAGACAGAAGCTTGGGATTTTAACTGTTAGACTTCTATTATATGAGAAAACCTAGTTAGTTTCCACCTTATTGTGAAATACTGTTACACTACTAGCTCCTGATTTGCAACTAGAGACCTCGTACGTGGAAGATTTTATTTTTTAAATACAGAGAATGTTGAAAGCAGCATAAAATAGAATCTTTTTATTTTATTTTTTAAAGATTTTATTTATTTATTTGAGAGAGAGAGAGCACATCAGAGGGGATAGGGTCAGAGGGAGAAGCAGACTCCCTGCCGAGGAGGGAGCCCGATGCGGGACTCGATCCTGGGACTCCAGGATCATGACCTGAGCCGAAGGCAGTCGCTTAACCAGCTGAGCCACCCAGGCGCCCTAAAATAGAATCTTTTGAACAGAGTCCTGAAGTTGCTTCATCTGGTCACTGCAGTCCTTTCATATTAGTTTTTTTTTTTTTTTAAGATATTATGTATTTTTGAGAGAATGTGTGCACGAGCGGGGGTGATGGAGGGAGAGGGATAAGCAGACTCCCTGCAGAGCGGGGAAACCTGAGGCAGGGTGTCATGGGGCTTGATCCCAGGACCCTAGGATCATGACCAGAGCCGAAGGCAGACGCTTAACCAACTGAGCCACCCAGGTGCCCCTCAGATAAAGTAATGCTAACTAAAACAGAATGGAATTTTAGAAAGGGAAGGGACAACTTAAGTAATTAAAGAAGATGTACATTTTCATCAGTTGGCCTGGCATTTATGCTTACAGTGCTTGGAAGATAAGTGTTATGAGACCTAGCGTTTGTCCTAAAGTAGTTTTTTGTTGTAATCAAGACAAAGCTAACACAGGAAACACTTGGAGAAAGATTAAGTACATAATGGCAGTAGGAATTTTTAAAAGGGAGTTATTTTAGCTAAAAACATTTTCAAACAAATGAGACTTAACTAATAGGACTTGAGGTAAATGAAGAAGAATGGGGTTGGAGAAACATTTAGACGAAATGAATAGTGAGCAAAGGCAGAGTCTACAGTAACTTGGTCTCTACTGGAGCCTTGAGGCTGAATTGATTGGAATAGGGGTCTTTTGTTGGGGGTAGAAAATAAACCCAATACCAAGAAGTTAAAGATTTGGTTCATTATATAGTTTCAGTTCTATGGCCAAAGGGTGGGTTTGCAATTTTTTTTAAAATTTTATTTATTTATTTATTTGACAGAGAGAGACACAGCGAGAGAGGGAACACAAGCAGGGGGAGTGGGAGAGGGAGAAGCAGGCTCTCCACTGAGCAGGGAGCGTGATGCGGGGCTCGATCCCAGGACCTGGGATCATGACGTGAGCCGAAGGCGGACCCTTAACAACTAAGCCACCCAGGCGCCCCTGGTTTGCAAATTTTTAAAAGGAAGATTAGGTAGCAGTGTGCAGGATGGGTTAGAAGGATGAGGAGAAGTTAATGTTTGTGAAGTCTGTTACGAGCTTTTGGCAGTAACTCAGGCATGCAGTCATTGAGATGTCATTGTAGTGTTATTTGGATTACAGAAGATGAGATGGCACTGGAAGATTTTTTTAAAGGATACATAAAGGATTTTTAAAATAACCTGCTATAAGGGGTATTAACTTCAAGATACCCATCATAGACTAATAATGACATTACTGATTAAAAGATATTTAATCAGTAGGAGTTATTGTTTGAAGGAGGAAACTAGTTTGGACACTCTTTCCTGGTGCAACATTTGATTGCAGATCTTTAAGCAAGTAGAGAGAAGCAAAGGTTTATGTGAGAAATAAGGGTTGGAAGTATAGTTGTATTGGTGAATTCAAGGAATTAAGTGTAGGAATAAAAGCATAAAACTGATAATATCTGTTAATATGTAGGAATGGTAGAATACATGACAAAAGTTTGTATGGCACTCATGGGTAAGGCAAGTGGTAGTAAAAGGATCAAGAGACACCAGAAAGATAATAGGAGCTCCCATACAGTCTTGTGCATTTTATCTTCAGTTCAAATATTCAGAGAGCTTTCAAGCTAGAAAGAACCTGAGTAAGGATTAGATGATGATGCACCTCTGCAGATGAGAATAATTCTTTATATCCGTAGTCATTGTGGATCGGAGACCTGAAAAAGTTTTTATGGCTCATAGTTTGGGAATAATTTCTCAGGGAACTCAATTGTACTCTGGCAACAGATATTTTATCTTTGTGGTTTGCCTAGAGTGGATAGACAAAATGATCTCTGTTTTCAAGTCTGTTGTTGACACAATTAAGACAAGTCTGGTGGATAGGGGTTTGGGATCATTGTAATGTTGGGCTCATGGCCACATAGATACTATGATATCTAGATTAATTTCTGGCTGATAAATTTAAGCTGTATAGGTTTAATATTCTAAATAGCTGTAACAGCATTATGCTAAGAGTATGGAAGAGAAGTGATCAGTAGGCAGAGTAGTCACATATGCCTGATTATTAAAAGTAGGACGTGTAGTATATGAATAGTAGGAGCCTCAGTAATTCTGTGTATTAAAACAGATTAATCATGGGGAGCCTGTAGAGCATGTGACTCTTGATCTTGGGGTTGTGAGTTTGAGCTTCATGTTGGGTGTAGAGATTACTTAAAAATAAAATGTTTAAAAAAAACCAGATTAGTCACAAGTTGGAAAGCATATAATAAAGAGAGGCTAAAACCTAGCTTATTAGTTGTATATCATATCTGGATTACTGGAAAATTACTAAATAAATTAGTATACTAATAAGTAATGATTACTTTTAAAACAGGCTAGCTGTTGCATATTGCAGTAACATCAAACATGGAAAACACAGAACCTTGGCTGTAACCACAGACAATAGGCAATTCAGCCTACAGTTATCAGGAGAACTAATAGTCATGTATTAGGAAATTTTGTACATTAACATTCATATCTTCATATAAGGATGTGCATGTTTACATATGTTAATATGCAGTATGTGATGTTAACTATATAAATGGATTAATGGAATCCATGTTACTTTGGAGAGTATCATCCTATGTCCACTGATTTTTAAAAAAGGTGTGATGAAAGTAGGAATGAGTAGAAAAAGTACTTACTAGGGTAATTTTTACACATTTTTTTAGATGTGTTAAATATATTCGTCTTGGTTTAAAATTAGATTTGATCTAGGGTTCATTCTCTTTATTGGTAACTTGTTTATTTCTACTTTACTTTCTTTTAATTTTAAAATACAACTGTAAAGGGATCTTATTTCCAGTTTCTGGAAGTCGTGGTCCTGTGCGCCAACCACAAAGCGGTTATATCTGTGCCCATACGTACAGGTAGTGAAGGCATCTAGTATTACAGTAGTTCTCAACCTCTGGAATTACTGAAAAGGTATATGAATTCATATTGGTTTTATTTTTTTTTTTAAAGATTTTATTTATTCATGAGAGACGGAGAGAGAGAGAGAGAGAGAAGCAGAGGGAGAAGCAGGCTCCCAAGAAGCAGGGAGCCCGATGTGGGACTCGATCCCAGGACCCTGGGATCATGACCTGAGCCGAAGGCAGACGCTTAACCATCTGAGCCACCCAGGCGCCCTCATATTGGTTTTATGCATCATTTATAGATTTTGTGAATAATATACGTGTGTACTGCGGTTTTCTTTTTCTCTCTTTTTTTTTTCTTAAATTTTATTTTTAAGTAATCTCTACACCCAACATGGGGCTTGAACCCACAACCTTAAGATCAAGAGTTGCACGCTCCACTGACTGAGCCAGCCAGGTGCTGCTGTACTACTGGTTTTCTGATGAGATGGTATAGTGATTGATGAGTGTAGACTTTGGTGCCTGTCTGGATCCAAATCCCAGCTCCATCACTTAGCTTTCAGATTTTGGACAAGCCCCTGATGTCTGTATGCCTCAGTTTCCTTAGCTGTATGGGGATTCTAACTCATTTCATAGGATTATTATGGGGATTAATTCAACTTATTTTGTAAGTGTTAAGCCGTCTGTATTATATGACTATTAGTGCTACTGTGATTAACAAAATAAGTTTCAGTTGAACACAGTTATGAATTTAAAGTAGCATTTTGTTATTGTAAGAGAAGAGTAAGGAATTTTAGGGGTCTTCATATTGGATATGTTGGTACTGGGGTCATAATGCAAAATAGCTTTTGGTCAGCAGTATTACTGGTTTGCCTAAAAAAACATTATTTAACAGCCTCTGAGATAGGAGTCACATACCGCAGTGGAAAAGCCCATGGCCCTGGGGTCTCAGAAGACTTGGGTTTTAGTCTCAGCTCTACCATAAACTATCTACCTTTGTTGTCTTTTTTTTTTTTAAGATTTTACTTAGCAGAGCGAGAGAGAGTGAGCATGAGTGGGGGGGAGGGGCAGAGGGAGAGGGAGAAACCGTTTTCCCACTGAGCAAGGAGCCTGACGTGGTGCTCCATCCCAGGACCCTGGGACCATAACCTGAACCGAAGGCAGCCACTTAGCCAAGTGAGCCACCCAGGCGCCCCTATCTGTAAGCACATGACTGACTTTTTCTGAATATCAGTTTACTCTGGTTAGACTAAAGACTAGATAGACTGTTCAGTTTTACCATTCTCTTTTACTGTGACACAATACATGAGACAGACATCAGTTCTAATCCATTATCCCATAAAGCAGGAAAAGCACTACTATATAAAGACATAGTAGTGAATGGCAGAACTAGTACTAGAATCTTCTTAACCAAATTGTTACTCTCTGTATTATACCATCTTGGCCTAAGGACAAAGTGACATGGGAACAGCGTTGTCCATTGTAGACATGGCCCACTGACTCAACACTTTTTATCCTTGTATGATTCTTCAGTGCTTCATGTTGCAATCCTTGAATCAAGCTGACGGGGAAAAAATGATAAATTATACTGATGCTATAACGAGAAGGCACTTGTCCTTTAAAAAACTTTAAATGATAGAGAAGCCTCGGTGGCTCAGTTGTTAAGCGTCTGCCTTTGGCTCAGGTCATGATCCCAGGGTCCTGGGATAGAGTCCCGCATCAGGCTCCTTGCTCCGCGGGAAGCCTGCTTCTCCCTCTCCCACTCCCCCTGCTTGTGTTCCCTCTCTCGCTGTGTGTGTCTCTCTCTCTTTCTCTCAAAAAATAAATAAAATCTTAAAAAACAAAACAAAAAACCTTAAATGGTAATAAAGTATTTTAACCAACCAACCTTAAAGAAACATTTTTCTAGCAAAAGTAAAATCCATTCGTAAGTAGACCAAGTATTCAAACCTTAGGGTTTCTGCAGATTATGTCTGATGGCAAAGCTAACCACCCTATTCCAAAATTATGGGTTTTGATCATGAGATCTCTAATAATTTGAACGTCTTAATTACCTTAGTTCTTGAATTGCTCATAGAGTCTTAGACCAGAGTTGAGCAAACCATAGCCTGAGGGCCAAATCTGTTTTTGTATGGCTATGAGCTAAGAATAGCTTTTACATTTTTATTTTTTATTTATTTATTTTTTAAAAGATTTTATTTATTTATTTGAGCGAGAGAATGAGAGCACGAGAGGGAAGAGCATCAGAAGGAGAAGCAGACTCCCTGCTGAGCAGGGAGTCCGATGTGGGACTCAGTCCCGGGACTCCAGGATCATGACCTGAGCCGAAGGCAGTTGCTTAACCAACTGAGCCACCCAGGCGCCCTACATTTTTATTTTTAGATGGTTGAAAAAAATCAAATGAATAATATTTTGTTAATTTGAAAATTACATGAAATTTATATTTTTGCATCCTTAAAGTTTTATTTGAACACATCTATGTTCATTTTTTTACTACTGTCTCAATGGTTTTGCTTTAAAATGGCAATTGAGTAGATGAGACAGACCTGTGGCCCACAAAACCTAAAATATTTACCATCTGGGTCTTTTTTTTTTTAAAGATTTTTTATTTATTTATTTGACAGACACAGTGAGAGAGGGAACACAAGCAGGGAGAGTGGGAGAGGGAGAAGCAGGCTTCTCGCAGAGTGGGGAGCCTGATGTGGGGCTCGATCCCAGGGCCTTGGGATCATGACCTGAGCCGAAGGCATACGCTTAACAACTGAGCCTCCCAGGCGCCCCATACCATCTGGGTCTTTATAATAGAGTATTCCCAACCCCTGGTCTGAAACTGTGCTGTCCAGTGTAGCAGCTGCATGTAGCTATTTAAATTTAAAATACTTTATAGCAGAGAGGATACAAAGCAAAATCCGCAAAAGGAAAGGAATGTGGGGTAAAGTCCAGAGGATACCAGGCACAGGCTTCCAAGACTCCTCTGCTAGTAGGGTCACACACAAAAGGACATGGTAAATTTCTCCAGCTATGGATTCTGATAATGTGAGTGATGTGTTACCCACTAAGGAATCTAAATGGAGACTCATTGCCTGGGGTTTTTACTGGGGGCTGGTCACATACACTCAGCCTAGCAAGTACCAAATTCCAGACTCTAAGAAGGAAAGCAGGTGTTCAGCATAAGCTGTATTTGTGTAAGCAGTTTAGGCACAGAGAACCACTTATCATTCAGGTCAAGTTTTATATCATTTGTAGGGAACTATTTACCAGTCATGTTCCCACACATCAGCCAAGGACCTTGTAAGGAGGTCTTTTTAAGGACAGCAGCCCCAGGGCTCCTATTTTAAATCTTTTCTGCACACTACCTAACTGGAAAACATGGATACAGACTAGTCCCATCATCACAGAAAATTGTATTGGACAGTACTGGTGTAAAAAACAGTGATTTTTAATTATGAGCTCCTTTGAGATTATGATGGAGAGCTTTGGATTTTTCAGTCTGGGTTAATATGCGTATATATGTAGTTTTTAAATTAAGTATAGTTGACACAAGTGTTAACATTATGTAATATTTTCACTTAGTTTTAGGAATTCACTGGTTTAGAAGAAGAAACTTCAGTATTTAAAATATATACTTGTGTATTCTTGCCCCTGTCACCGTATAATTGTGGACAAATATTTCTTGTGTTTTGGTCATATAGCGTACTACAGAACTTAAAAGCTTGAGATATAGTATCAGACAATTAGAATCTGGAACTGCCATTGAATTAGCTGTATGGCCTTGAACAAATTGCTTAACAAATTTTCTTACCTTTGAAAGGGCAGTAATTAAAAAAATAACTCTGTCTTAGATGGTAAAAAGTAAATGAGAAAATGTACATAAGGCATTTAGCATGGGCCATGGAATTTAGTAATTACTCAGTAGTGGCTCTTAATATTTGTAATAATAATTCTTGCTTCATTAATTCCCCCTTACTCTAATTCAGAAATGACTTTTTGTCGCTATTTAGTATGTTGTCTTTATTGGTGATATTAATGAATGGCTCTTTTAAAGCCAAATCTAGATGGTTCTTGAATTACATTGTTTAATATTTGTAATATTTTCTTAAATTTAAATTTTTTTTTATATTTCTACTGACTGTATATAATACAGGTTTTCTTTTTTTCAAGATTTTATTTATTCATTTGAAACAGAGAGATGCAGAGAGAGAGAGCATGAGCAGGGGGAGAGGCAGAGGGAGAGGGAAGAACAGACTCCCTGCTGAGCCAGGAGCCCAAGGACCCTGGGATCGTGACCTGAGCTGAAGGCAGATACTTAGCCATCTGAGCCACCCAGGCGCCCCTGTAATACAGCTTTTAAAAATGGAAGTAATCTCTCTCTTTTTTTTTTAAGATTTTATTTATTTGAGAGAGAGAAAAAGCATGAACAGGGGGAGGGGCAGAGAGAGAAACAGACTCCCTGCCGAGCAGGGAGCCCAATGTGGGGCCTTGATCCCAGGACGCTGAGATCATGACCTGAGCCAAAGGCAGACGCTTAACTAACTGAGCCACTCAGGCAACCCGGAAAAAAATCTCTCTTAAAAGATCTTCCTAGATGGTTATACACATATTTATCCTAATGAACTCAGACAAAATCTTTTCCTTTTGTTGATGTTGACAAGTTCTTTTTCCTCCTTTAGCTGTTCCTTTGGCTGCAACAAGTATGTTGATTACTCAAGGATTAATTAGTAAAGGTAAATATTTAAACTTCAAATTTATTTGGCATTTTGGATATCATTATGTTTTTATGTTTTCCTGATTTTTAGATAAAGTATAATAATGTATCATATTAAACATGATCATTGATATACTTCTACAACATGAGAGTTATGTCTCCATGGACCCACTGACTCAGATATATTGACTTGAGAATTTGATGTCCTCTGACACTGTAGCAACATTAACAATCTACAAGAGCAAAAAAGTAGCTAAAAACCTACAGAGGTTTTGCAGGGAGGTAGAGGAAAAAACCTGGTCTAGGAAGGCCATCATCACTATTACCTAGGATCTTGTTAGAAATGCAAATTCATGGGCCCCATTCCAGAACTCCTTAATCAGTCTCTGAGGTAGGGCCTAGGAATCTGTTTTAACAGGCTCGGGGTGATTCTTAAATGCACTGGTTTAAAGATCAGTAGCTCCCTAGCTCCTTAAACCAGAGCTTTGTCTTACAGTAAGGGGGTTGGGGACACTTTCTGTCCCAAATCCTATTGGTGTGAATATTACAGTGCCTTGCTCCTACATAACTAATTACACACGTAACTGAAGCAAAAATTCCCTTTTTTTAGTTGCAGATATATCATGATAGACTTGTTCATGGATAGGGTGAATCCCACTGAAAATGTTAGAACCTATAACTGAGGTGGCAAATTTTCCTTACAGCTAAAATCTTCCTGGATTCTTAGTCACCATTTGGTGATGATTTGATTTCTCATTAATGGCACTATGCCTCTGTGATTCCATTTGCAAAAGTCCTACCATGATCAATAATATTGTTCCAAAGTGTTCCTTTGTAATTGTCTGTAAGGTCTGATCCTGGAGCCTTAACGGTAGAATTCAGTAATCCATTTTTAATTATTTTTATTATTTTTTTAAAAGATTTTATTTATTTTAGAGAGAGTGTGTGCATGCGAGTGGAGGGGAGGGGCAGAGGCTCGGAGAGGGAGACAGAGAATCTTAGGCAGGCTCCACGCCCAGTGTAGAGCCCAACATGGGGCTTAATCTCATGACCCTGAGATCATGACCTGAACGGAAAGCCAAGAGTTAGACACTTAACTAACTGAGCCACCCAGGTGCCCCTACATTTTTTAGAAAGAATTGCTGAAAGTGATTTAACCTAGTTTATGGAAGAATGTTTAAATAAACTTTGTCAGAGTTGTTACTGTTGGGGTTTTGATAATTTGGAATAAAAATATAAAAAATATTGAATGATACGTTATTCATGTAACTATTTCCCAGGATTAAAGGGTTTTATTGTTAGTTGTATTGAAGATTTGTTTTGGGTGCAGTGTTCTAATAAAGTCAGTCTCAAAAAAAGAAATTGGGAAGACTTTAGAAAAGGAATTCAGAGTCCACCAAGACATTTTGCATTTAATCAGAATGCCTAATATTTTGTATATGCTTTCATCCACAGTGTGTCATACTCAACATAGTCTTAGCTGCTCCATCACTACTTGTTAAACATTTAAACATGCCCAGGTCTGTTCTAACTTGAGAACATGAAAAAGAAAAATCTTCCCTCATATCCCTTTCTAACTCTTCCCAGCTGTCTTGCATTTGAAGCCAGACTTCACGAATGAGCACTTTACTTTTTACTCCTTTTAACCCATTACAATCTGTGTGAAAAGATTATGCATACGTTCTGACATTTGCCAACACTTTAAAAGATTACCAACACAACCTCTTTGTTGCTTAAATTCGATGGGCAGTTTGTGTTCTTGATGGTTATATGACTTTAACCAGTCTTTGAAACCGTTCTCTTCACCTGGCTTCCATGACAGCCTGTTCTGGTTTTTTTCCTGCCGCTGGCAATTCCTCCATTTTTTCATGTTTTCTGAGTGTCTAATGGTACTATACACTGTTTTTGGTAGATAACACAGACAAAAATTAAGCTGTTGGTACTTAATATTCTAATGTGGGTTTTCATCCTCCACTTGTGTTCTTCAGAGTTCTGCTTTGACTTTTCAGTCTTCAGTCTGTGTAAACTATTACCCAGTGATAATGTGGGCTTCAGGACCATTTATTGCTCTAAACCCCCATGAAAATTATTGCTAGCCTTCATATCTGTTCCAGAATCATATTCTGCATATCTTCACCTGAGTGGCCCTCCTTAGAAACTCTTCAAACTGACTTAACCCAAACTGAGTTCATTTTCCTCCAGACCAGTTTCTGTTGTCCACATGTCTGAATGGTAGCACTCGTCATCTAGGAAACAGAGGCATTATCCTTAACTTCTACCCCTTATTTGCCTTACCCAATGAATGTTCATTCTCGTCCATGTCTTAAATATCTCTGTAAACTGTCTACCTCCATCTGCACTGCCACTGTAATTAATGCAACCATCTGTTGCCAGGAGTATTAAATTAGCCTTCAAGTCTATTTGCCTCTATTCTTGCTACTTCCTCTTAGGAAACAGGCTATAACTGTAATAACTCTGTGAGAGCTAAAGAGAACATCTTGTTTACTGTTATATTCCTACTTTCTAGTATGTAGTGTCTATATAAGTGGTCTGTAACTATTTGGTGATAGAATGAAGGAACAGTTCTTTTGAATGAAGGTAGATACTGTTACCATCTTCCTTTTTCTCGTTTCAGTTGTGTAACTAAAGCTAATAGCATAACTTAGTTCTCTTTTTAGACTTCATATACATGAAATCCTACAATTAAGTATTCTTTTGTATACCCTCTTTGAACGTTGTAAGATGCATCCAGCGGTATGCTAGAACTGGCTTGTACCACTTCCAGAAAGCTGATTGTTCAATTTTCAACAACTTGGCAGGCCAGTGTTTAAACATTGATAGCTTGGAATTGGTCATGGTGCAAGTATTTTCTCCATGAAAATCGACTGACATTACAAATCAGCTTTTTATTTGGAGAGCTGGTTTTCTAGCACATCACTAGATTCATCCACATTGTTGCATGTAATTATAGATTATATATTCTTGTTTCCATATAGTTTTGTGCTGTGTAAATATACCACAGCAGTTTATCCATCCTGTTGTACATTGGCAATTGGGTAATTGCCAGTTTTGACTATTACAAATGGTTCTGCTATGAATACAGCATCTTTTGGTAGACATTTTGCCGGGTCATAGATTATGTATATGTTTAGCTATGGTGGATACTGCCAAACTTTCTAAATTGTTTGGACCAATTTACACTCTCCTACCAATTTATTAGTAGAGCTCTGTTTGTATCACATTATCACCAACACTTGCTCTTTTCATGTCCTTTTAATTTTAGCCATTGTGGTGAGTGAACAGTAATACTGATTGTGGTTTTAATTTGCATTTCCCCAATGGCTAATGAAGTTGAGGACCTTTTCTTTTGTTTATAGCTCACTTGAATATATTCTTTTTTGGCGAAGTGTCTATTCAGGTCTGTTGTCCATGTTTCATTGGATTGTCTTTTTCTTTTGGTTTCGTGAGGATTTTCTATATCTTCTAGAAGTGAGTCTCTTGTCAGATGTTATGTATTGTTTTTTTTCCCACTGATTAACTGTAGTTCTTAATATGATAGAGTAAAATTTATCATATTCTTTTATGATGAAGGCTTTTTGTGCTCTAAAATATTTGTCTATTAACAGGACATGAAGAATCTCTTACGCTTTTTTCTGTAAGCTTTATTTTTTCTTTCATACTGAAATTTTCAAGTCATTTGGAATTGTTTTTGAACACAGGTGTATCTCTTTTTATTGTGCTTCGCTTTAACGCACTTCACAGATACTGCGATTTTTACAAATTTAAGGTTTATGGCAACCGTGCTTTGAACAAGTCGCATTGGTGCCATTTTTTCAATAGCATTTGTTCACTTTGTGTCTCTGTGTCACATTTTGGCAATTCTCGCAGTAAATGTTCTACTTACTATATTTGTAAGGGTGGTCTGTGATCAGTGATTACAACTCTCTAAAAGCTCAGATGATGGTTAGCATTTCTTAGCAGTAAAGTATTTAATTAATGTATGTACATTGTTTTTATTTTTTAGACAGTGTTGCGTGTTTAATACAGGATAGCATAAACCTAACTTCTATATGCACTGGGAAAGAGAAAAATGCATTTGACTTTCTTTATTGTGATTCTCCCTTTATTGTGGTGCTCTTGAACTGAACGTGCAGTATTTCTGAGGTATGCTTGTATTGTATGAGGTAGGGTAAAGGTACATTTTTTCCCCCTTACAGATATGAAGGTGACCCAGCACCATATTTTGAAAGGACTGTCTTTGTTCACTGCATGCCGTGTTGCATTTGTCATAAGTGACTATGTGTGGATCTGTTTCTTGACTCTCTTCTGGTTTTGATGGGTTTATCTGTTCTTGCACTTAGAACAGTCTTAATTACTGTAGCTTTATTGTAGATCTCGATATTTGTTGGTAGTCGGTTTTTCAGTTCTGTTGTTTTTCAATATTGCCTTGGTTCTCAGCTCTTTGTATTTCCACATGATTTTTAGAATAAGTTGGAATAAGTTTTTCAACTTTTAGGAATACTTTCTTTGATTTTTAATTGGGATTGCATTGAACTTAAAGATGAATTTGTGGAGAATTGTCATACTGACAGTATTTAGTCTTTCCTTTTATGGACATGGATGTATTATTCCTCCACTTAGCTTTCATTTCTCTCAGTAAGTTTTGTACTTTTCAGTGTACAGATCTTTCATATTTTTCATTAGATTGCTCCTGGGTCTTTGATGTTTTTGGGTGCTATAATAAATTATATCTCTCAAAAACTTTGTTTCTGGTATACAGGAATTATTATTATTATTACTTTTTGTATATTGACCTTGTGTCAAGTGATCTTGCCAAATTCACCTAATAGATTGTAGAGTCTTGGATTTTCTTCATATTTCTGTTGATGTTGAATTTACTTGGTGTTCTCTTTTAATTAGCTGTAGCTGTAGACTTCACTGAGGTAATGGAAAGAGCTAATGTAGTCAGGTAATACTTAAAGACAGCCTGTACTGGTTTTTCCTTTTGTCTTTGTGGGTTGCCCAAAGCTGCTGAGAAATATATTTTTATATTGCATTGCTAGACTTTTTACTACTTTTGTCTCACATTAGAAGAGACTAGATATAGCTCACAGAAATAGTTTTCTTGCACTTTTTACCATAATTTGTGTCATTTTCTTATATGCTTTTATTTATTTTTTTTAAAGATTTTACTTATTTGACAGAGAGAGAGAGCAGGAACACAAGCGGGGGGAGTGGGAGAGGGAGAAGCAGACTTCCCACGGAGCAGAGAGCCTGATGTGGGGCTCGATCCCAGGACACTGGGATCATGACCTGAGCCGAAGGCAGACGTTTAACGACTGAGCCACCCAGGCGCCCCCTTTTATAAGCTTTTAGCATAAACTTGGCATAAGCCTATTTTATTTTTATTTACTTATTTTTAAAAGATTTTATTTATTTATTTGACACAGAGATAGTGAGAGAGCAGAGGGAGCGGCAGGCAGAGGGAGAGGGAGAAGCGGGCTCTCGGCTGAGCAAGGAGCCCGATGCGCTGACCTGAGCCAAAGGCAGCCGCTTAACCAGCTGAGCCACCCAGGCACCCCAAGCCTATTTTATTTTAATAAAAGATAAGACATCTTAATTATCTAAATGTGTCTATCTCTCACAGTCTGACTCTGAAATATCTACTCTTTTATCTATAGGAATCCTTTCAAGTCATCCCAAATATGGTTCCATCCCTAAACTTATATGTAAGTATGGACAACACTCGCTTTCTTACCTAAGTAAAGTAATTAGTTTTTCCCAAATGTTTTGTCTTGTCTAACTCATAACCGTTATTTGTTTTGACCAGCTTGTTTAAGCTTTTTATTAAATGGACTAGTCAACTACTTGGGCATTTTATTGTTAGCATTAAGAATTACAAATTATTTGAAAGAGAATTTTTTTCTTTGATGATGTAATAAAACGACTATTTTTAAATAATTTGTAAAGATACATAGTATTTCAAAATACTCTGGTTTATGAGGAAAGAAAATTGTCCAGATATAGGGAAGTAAAATGTCTTTTAAAATTAAGTCTAACTTTAAAAAATCTCTTTACATGTTAAAATGTAAATAAGCATAATTTAGCTACATATTATAGTATGGTTTATAGGAAAGAAGCTAAATTGCTTTAAAAAAGAGCACCAGAGACTTTTTATGAGTCTTTCCAGGTTAGCCTCTCTTATATATTGGAAATAAACACATAGGCAGCAGTAGCCACATTCCGGTACCATGTCATAATTCATTATTTTAAGGAATTTGTTGTACCTAATTTTTTTTTATTATGTTAATTACCATACATTACATCATTAGTTTTTGATGTAGTGTTCCATGATTCATTGTTTGCGTGTAACACCCAGTGCTCCATGCAGAACATGCCCTCTTTAATACCCATCACCAGGCTAACCCATCCTCCCACCCCCCTCCCCTCTAGAACCCTCAGTTTGTTTTTCCGAGTCCATCGTCTCTCATGGTTCATCTCCCCCTCCGATTTCACCCCCTTCATTCTTCCCCTTCTGCTATCATCATCATCTTTTTTTTTTTTTAACATATAATGTATTATTTGTTTCAGAGGTACAGACCTGTGATTCCACAGTCTTGGCACAATTCACAGTGCTCACCATAGCACATACCCTCCCCAGTGTCTATCACCCAGCCACCCCATCCCTCCCACCCCCCACCACTCCAGCAACCCTCGGTTTGTTTCCTGAGATTAAGAATTCCTCATATCAGTGAGGTCATATGATACATGTCTTTCTCTGATTGACTTATTTCCCTCAGCATAACACTCTCCAGTTCCATCCACGTCGTTGTTGCACCTAATTTTAAAAAACAGTCTTATGAAATTAGCTGGGCAAATAGTATGATTCCCGTTTTACAGGAAAAGAAATGGCCTGAAATCTCTGTGACTAGGCTAGAACTCTTTTAATTCCTTTACCACATCTTTCCTGTCTATGTTAATAATTAGTAAAGTGGAATTTATATATCATGGAGCAGTTTTATTTTGGATTATTTTATTTTGTGAGAGTGAATTATATCTACAGAATCTTTATGTGTACTTTGAATCTGATTTAATGTGGTTATCTTTTACCATTATTTCAAGAAATCATCAGTTTTCCCCTTTATTATAAAGACCTATTTAGGAACACATTTCTTAAAAACATCTTTTAGAAGAGATTTTTATTTAAATGGGCACACTGAGTCACATTTTTTGTTTGTTTTTACAAATAAGTTGCTTGTATCATGGGATACTTTGCTGGAAAGCTTTCTTACGTGAAAACTTGCCAAGAGAAGTTCAGAAATCTTGAGAATTCCCCTCTGGGAGAAGCTTTACGCTCAGGACAGGCACGGCGATCTTCACCATCTGGGTAGGCCAAATTCTGATTTTTATTGAAGACTTTTAATTTTAGCTAAAAAAATTGTAACTGGATATTGCTATAATTCAGGGCATGAAACATTCTGTAACCTGAGGGACTGTTGCAAAACTTTCCGTTTTGCAACAAGCTAAAGTTATTTTGTTTTAAAAAGTGGAGTAAAATATGTCTACCTTTGTTTTATTTTTATTTATTTGTATTTATTTATTTGAGTAAATTCTTCCCACAACTTGGGGCTTGAATTCAGGATCCCAAGATCAAAAGCTGCCATGTTCTGAGCAAGCCAGGCACTCCTACCTTTGTTTTATTTTTATTTATTTATTCATTTTTAAGATTTTATGTATTTATTTGAGAGAGAGAGAGCACGAGCTGGGTGCAGGGAGAGGGAAAAGTAGGCTCCTGGCTGAGCAGGGAGCCCGACACAGGGCTCGATCATGACCTGAGCTGAAGGCAGACGCTTAACCGACTGAGCCACACAGGCAGCTCCCTACTTTTGTTTTCAATAAAGAGTAGCATCCTGTTAGGAGTGCTTATACCAGAATAAAGGATTTTAATTTGGCCGATGCCTTTGAGTACTATATTTTGGACTTTTCTTTTGAATTCCCAAATTTTATCAGTCCCATCTCTTAAATTTCAACTTTTTAATCCTTATTTTAAGTATATTCTCCAAATTTTTATTTTAATTATGTAAGTATAAATAAATGAATCTGTCCATCTGGATAGGTAGATAAGTAATAATGTAATTTAGTAGATTTAATAGATACATTGTTATAAATGGTAAACCCCACAAAAGCTAGTAGTATTACTTATATATTTGCTTTAGCAAAATAGTGTTTACGGCCTGCTAGCTGTGGAAGTAACTTCCCTTAATGTGGGAACTGGACATACTTTCTGATTTGAAATACTTTTTTCTTTCCAAGGACCTTTTTTTTAGATTTTATTTATTTATTTATTTTTAGAGTGTGTGCCAGCGAGCGGGGCTAGGAGCAGAGGGGTAGGGAGAGGGAGGGGGAAAGAATCTCAGGCATGGGGCTCAATTCCATGGCCCTGACTGAGATCATGCCCTGAGCCAAAACCAAGAGTCAGATGGTTAACCGACTGAGCCACCTAGGCACCCCTCTGAGGACGTTAAACATGTTAAAATGATCTCTGAAGTGGGGCGCCTGGATGACTCAGTTGGATAAGCAGCTGATTCTTGATTTCGGCTCAGGTCATGATCTCAGGGTCATGAGATTGAGCCCTGCTTTGGGATCCATGTTCAGTGGGGAGATGAGATTAGAGATTCTCTTCCTCCCTCCGCCCCTCCCCCCACCCCCTTGCACACATTCTCTCTCTCAAGTAAATAATTTTTTAAAAAAAATATGAAGTTTAGGAATTAGAAAATTAGATACACATTTCTGTATTAAGAGTGGTTGTTTTTAAGTTGCATAAATGGGTTAAAACTTATTTTTAAGGTTTTTGTGGCAGAGAGAGACAGACTTCATTTTACTGTTCTAGATAACCATGTAAAAATTACATCATTCCTTTAGAAAGTAAGATAACTAGTTTTCATACCGTAACACATTTTTTTTAGGGTGTAGGCAATAATTTGTATTTCTTATACAATATGATTTACAGGCACTATTCTCAGAAGTCAAAATATGACTCAAATTTGGGTGGTCATTCATCTTTTGTGACGTCTCCAGCCGCAGACAACATAGAAAAAGAGATGCTTCCTCATTATGAGCCAATTCCATTTAGTGCTTCTATGAATGAATCTACTCCCACTGGTATTACTGATCATATTGCCCAAGGTAGAAACTTCTCTTGAAATGAGTTTCAGCATTATATGGTCCAACGTATGTATAAACTTTATTTGATGACCTTTTCTGCTGGATATCACCTGTATGTTCCACCATCAGCCTACACTCAGCATGTTTGTTCATCTGTTTCTTCATTCATTCAACATTTTTTGACGTCCAGTAGGTGTCAGGCACTCAGCTAGGTATGGAAGAAGTAGAGATGAATAAGACCTGGTTCTTGTCCTTGAGAAACTCCCTTAGACTGTTAGAAGATACAGAAATAGAAGGAAAAATTACTAATATATCCCATTAATCAAAAATACTAACAGTTTAGTGATCATTGCAGAGAAGTGGTAAATTGGGCCACGGGGAGGCTTCAGAGAGGTTACACTTGTTAGGCTGGTCTTAAAGGCTTTCAGCTTCTTTGTCTGTAATGTGAGAAAAATAATAATTACCTGCCTTACAGAACTCTTGTCAAGTGAGAAAATCCATGTGAAAATGCTTTGTGAAGTTTGTGTAAATACTAGCTTTGAAGATCGCAGAATGTAAGTGAAACAACACCAACTTTGGATTAAGGCCTGGATTTGAATGATTGACATTTGCTAGCTATGTGACTTTAGGCAAGTAACTTTGTGATCCCTTCAGCTTCTTGATCTCTGCGATGGAGATAATACCTCTCTTAAAGAACTTTGGGAATGAGATGAAATAATCAGAGGTAATGCCTGACAAGTCATAGGCTCTTAACAGTTGCTCATTTCCTTCTTTCGTTTTTTCAATCTAATTTGTGGTGAAAAGTGAAGAATTAGGAAGTACAGGTTTGCAGTTCCTTATCTAAAAACCCTAAAATCCAAAAAAACTTTGATAACCACAAAGCTTTATTTAAAAAAATTTTTTTATTATCTATTTTTCTGACATGGGCTTGACTGCATGACCCCAGGATCAAGAGTCACACACCCTTACCGATTGAGCCAGTCAGCTATCCCTACAAAGCTTTTTTTTATAGTTAAACTGGTGATGAAATCTGACTTAACTCCTTTCACACTCTGAGACCTAAACTGGCATAGTCTATTTATAATCTTAATATGATTTTTCCTGCATTTTGTTGTACAGAATATTAATGTTTGCTTATGCACTGCTTCTTCAAACCTCCGAATGTATGATATTAAGTAATACATTTTTTATATTAAGTAATATATTAACGAGCTATATACTATGACATCTTTCTAAAATCTGAGAAACTGAATTTTGAAACATTTCTGACTACACAGTTTTAGATAGGGATTTTGGATAGAATATTCTTTGAAAACGTTTGCTTTAATGTAAATACCATAAGCCAGTAACTATGAGAAACAAATAAGGTTAAAGGAACATTTTTGTTGCTTGAGATGGGAGAGATTTGGATCTATGTGTAGGTTAAAGGGAGGGAGGGGAAACAGTGGGAAGGGGAGAAGTTGATTATAGGTCAAGTAATGTTGCAGAGGTTGTAGAAGGGTTTCTAGGTAGGTTAGAACATAAAGTAGCCACTAACTGTATTTGTGGCCATTTAAATTAATTAAAATTAAATCAGATTGAAAATTCAGTTCCTCAGTTTCTTTGTAGCATTTCACTTGTTCAGTAGCCGCGTGTGCTAGTGGCTACTCTGTTGGAATGTGCAAATACAAAACATTCTCATCCTTACAGAAAGTGATACTGGACAGCATTGCTTTAGAGCAAGTTGGGGTGGGGGCGGTGAGTATTAACATTTTGGAAAAGAAGAAACAGGAGCGAATGGAAGTTAAAATAATTAAAGACATTCTTAAGTGGATGAAAGGTGTTGAGAGTCTTGACTCCACACCCCCCCCAATGTTTGGAAACAAAGACCTCCCAAGTAGTCAGAGAGGGAAGGAGGTGGGCAGGTTAGGAGAGAGTGGTTAAGTATTTATCTTCAAAGGCATCTGTTCTTAGTTCTCACTGCATCTCTCATTTTCCTAGCCTCTCAAGTTCAGATGCATTCTACTTGTATTCTGGCCATGCATGACTTCTTTCCTTGTAATGACTTTCATCCTTCCTTCCATTTGCATTAGAAAATTCCATGCTGGGACGCCTGGGTGACTCATTCGTTAAGTGTCTGCCTTTGGCTCAGGTCATGATCCTAGGGTCCTGGGATCGAGCCCCGCATCGGGCTCCCTTGCTCAGCGGGAAGCTTGCTTCTCCCTCTCCCACTCCCCCTGCTTGTGTTCCCTCTCTCGCTATGTCTCTCTCTGCCAAATATAAATAGAATCTTTAAAAAAAGAAAAAAAAATTCCATGCTATGTTGTACAATTCCTTTTCCAAATAACAGCAGACAGACAAAAAAAGCCCTTTGGTATCTGCCCACAGACTACAGCAAGGCCCATATTTTAATATATTTTATGTCCTCGAGGTGCAGCCATCTATCCATCCATTGCTCCGCTTTCTCAATCCCTTCTCTAAATCAAGCTTGCCACTCTGACTACTCTCCACGTGGGCCAGTTGTGGCCTCTGCTTTGCCCTAGCTGCTGTCCTCCCTTACCAGGACGTTCTCTCCTTTTGTTAAAGTCCTGTTTGCCCTATTTGGTTCTGCTTTCTTTTACTAGGAATTGAAAGAGTTATTAATCTTTCAAAGTAGAAAGTACTCTTTCATTGCTGTTAGACTTATCATAGATAGTGTATTACAGTTAGGTTTAAGTCATTGCTGTTTTATATTTTATTCCTTCCAGCTCTTTATAACCTTCCCAAAGTAGTAAATCATGCTCTCCCTACACAATGCAGAATATTTTCATTGGGCTTTATAAGTGGAAAAAATTCTCCCTAATCTTCTGATTTATGTTTCCATTATTTGTCACAGAATTTTGGAACAAAGAAGTATTTTCTTTTCAGTGAGAAAAAGTATTAGACCTGGAAGGAACTTTAAAGATAGATCATCTAGTTAAATGTCTGTATTTCACAACTGAGAAAACCAAGATTCAAAGAAGTTTAGTGATTTGCCCAAGGATATTCAGATTGTTGGCAAAGTGGGAATGAGAACTTAGGGTTCCTAACTAATAATCTGGTACACACTGTCTCCTTCAGAATTTTAAAAATATCATTTATGGTAAAGGGAAATGAGTTTAATAATTACTCATTAATAATGAAATGTGAGTGCTTTTTAAACCCAGTATAAGGTTATAATATTTTTCTTTGCATTCTTTTTTAGCAAAAGCTTAGTTTTCAAGAACAGTATTAATATTCAAATTAATATTTAAAGCCTTTTGCTTTGTATCAGTGCAGTATACTTTGTAGTGAAATAAAAGGTTATGCTTGAAAACATTTAAAGTTGTAGTTATGTTGATTTGAAAATTCTGATTATTCACTGGGACCTTACTGTAGAATTCCAAAATACCATTTATAAAACCTGCTTTTAAAAAAATTATCTTGATTGATAATGATTATATTAATAAAGTGATGTATCCAATTTGTATATAAGAACCTCTTTGAAAACTACTACTTTTGGAGTGGGGTGTAAGACTTTCTAAGTTAAGTAGTTGTTGATTGAATGTTATGTTAGCATTAGTTCATTTCTTTTAAAATGTTTATATGTTTATATGACTTTTTTTGCTGGTTATACATTTTGTAAACTATGTTTAATAGTTGCTCCTGTCATCTAATAGTAAGAGTAACCACTTCCTTATTTTTAGATCAGTATTTAACTCTTTGATGATACATATTGCTACTTTGACTTTCTTTGGGAGAGGTAAAGATTAAAGGCTGGTCAAAATTATCGTTGCCACTTTTTTCTGCCTCAGTATTGCTCCATTAGACCTAAGTAAAAATGATGCATACGGTGATTGAAGGCTATATTTTATACTTTTCAACAGCTGTTTCCAAGTGTTTTTGTTTAAGTATAAAGGTGGCACATTTTTTTTTAATAGTTGTTCACATATAGACTCTGGTTATAGGAACATTCAACTATGGAAATATTACTAAGTAAAATATATACGATGTCAAATTTTGTTCAGTTGATTACAAAACAGTGTGAATAATTTTCCAGTAAAACACTAATATTTTAGTGAGTATAAATTACACTGGTATATATTATGATATCCATTCTTCTGGCCATAGTTACTTTTTAATTTTTTTATGTTGATTTTAAATTTTAGAAATAAAAGCTTAGAAGTGTAAGAGGGAAAGTCAGTTTTCATTTTGTAATTATCTTGGGGAAAATATAGTACTTTTGGAATGGTGGTTATTTGACTTTTTACTTTATTCTGTTTCTATTATAGGTAAGAAGCATTTAGAAAATTTAGTTGCTTTGGATTTATTCAAATCCTTTTATCACCATTTATTAACTGTTTGTTGTTTTAGGACCTGATCCCAACCCTGAAGAAAGTCCTAAGAGAAAAAATATTACATATGAGGAATTAAGGAATAAGAACAGAGAGTCATATGAAGTAACTTTAACACATAAGACTGACCCCTCAGTCAGGCCTATGCAGGAAAGAATGCCCAAAAAAGAAGGTATGATAGTTTAGTCTGAATCACTTTACTCTTTAGGATCGGAAACTGCAGCATTATTTAAAAATATTAACTATACTAATATGTGATTTAATTCTGCAAGCAATTAACCAAAATAACATTTTTTTAAAAGAATAATTCTGTCACAGTTACTAGTTTTTCCTTTTCTAAGGTGTTCCAAAGACCATTTTGTGTTAGAAAATAATAAAGTCCAAATAGTGGTATGAATTAAAGCAGTGAGATTAGTTTTAAAACGTTGTAGAAATTATAAATCCATTTGAATGTTTTCTCTTATCAGAAATCACCTTGGGACTTTTAATAAGTGTTTTTTAAATGATGCATCAAATGCCTAAAACCAAGTCTGGTTGCAACGGGCTGTAATGACACTTTAAGCCGAATGAGAGGATCACGATTGAGGAATGAAATGGATTTTCTTACGTTTTGTGAAATTGAAATAGAAGTTATATGCTTTATAAACCAGCTTTTAGGGCACTTCCAAAAGAGGAGTTTGACCTTTTTTTCAACAGTACTTTTGCTCTGTAATTATAAATTTAAAAATCACAGCTTGTTTTCATTCCTTTTGGAACAGCTATACATTACCCAAAGTAAATTTTCTGACACAGAAGTTTACCCCTAATGGAAGAAGGCATTTTGAGCAGGAGTTTGTACCTATTTCAGTGTAGAATTTTATGACGTCTTTTTTGAAGAATTTTAGAGAGTGTCATTGTTTTAAGGTTTTCTATTTATTACTTAAAAAAAAGAGAAGGAAGAGGTCCTTGGTACCTTCTTGAGAGTCCTGTGCCACAAAGAATGCAAAAATACATAAAAATTTTGAGTATTTTTTATGATTGTTCTTTTAGAACCAATTTTATTTCTAATTGTTAGTGGTTGCTTCATTTAGAATTCTGTTTTCATAATAGTCATGGATATTATTGCTGTCATATTATTAATGTAAGAAAATCCAGCTTTCAAATAGATTTGTAATAAAAAATACTTGTTAATGTTTGTCATTAGAAGAAAACCTTTAACATAAACATTTTGCATTCAGTGGCCATTATTTTATAATATATAAAGACTTACTGGTACTTTGTTCCAGTAATTAATTTGAGGATTTAGACTGTAAGCTCCATGAGGGCAGGCAGTAGCATTTCTCTCATTTTTGTAAGCTTTTCTGTTACATGTCTGCACAGTGTAGTATGCACTGATGTATCAAATATGAAGTGTTTTGGTTGGGCCTCAATAATAAAGGTTAACAAAAGGAAATTAGGTAGATCTTTGGCACATGCTGGATTTTGACATTTGTGGTTTTGACTGAACAATCTTGAAGTTCTGTTACATGACACAGTATGTGAAATAACTTTTTTCTTTGTAAAAAGAAAGCTGATTTTTTTGTGCATGCTTTATATAACTTAAAAACAGTTATGAAATAGTTTGGGTGATTTTTTAGAATGTTCTATTTTAGAATCTAGACAAAAAATTTGACATTAGTACAGTGTAGATTCACTTGGTCAGAAAGTATCACTTAAGTTTTCAGCTTCAGTTTGTGTAGGTTATGTTTGTTGATATTTACCTAAATTAGAAATTAAGACTGATAAATTTCAAAAGCATATTATCAGCCATCAGGGTATGATGGCACCACACATCATATAGCTTCTAGAAGACTGTCTTATATTCATGAGGGAATGAAAGCTAGGGGAAAAGGCAAAATATGAGGGAAAAGGTATATATCTTAGTATAATAATAAAATAGTTTGACTTAAACAGACTCCTTGAAAGACTCTCATGGAAGGGGTCCCTAGTCCGTACTTTGATAACTGCTCCTTTACATTATGAATACTTGAGTCTTCTGAAGAGTTGTGATCCACAGATGAAGGCCATGTAGAAGAGAGGCTGAAAGTAAAAGAGTAGATAAGACAGAGGAGCTTATTTCAAAATGTAATTTCATGTAAAATGCAGGAATATTGGAAACCATTTCCTTCTTGTATAGTATTACAGCTCATGGGGGAGAAGAATGAATTAACCACAACCTGAAGACTTGATCATTTCTGTTACTATATTTTTTTGTGAAAAACAAAATTCAAATGTTTGTTATTATTCTTTATTTCCTGGTAATTTTTTTGTATGTTCTATGATATATACCACACTTAGTATGGTAAGTTGTAAAGGTGTCCATGCTTTGGATCTAAATAGACTTATGTTCAGATTTTGGTTCTGTTTGCTTTATTAGGCTTGTACCTTGGGCAAGTTACTAATCTGTTTTCTCACCCTTCAGTTGGGGATTGTGTTTATAAGGTTGTTATGAGGATAAAATAATTGATGTAAAGTTTTTGATAGAGTACATCATTATTTATGTCCAACCTTCACTTCACAAAAGTCTCGCTAGCCCCTTTCTCTCATGTGCATTTATTGAAAATGAGAGAGAAACATAATTTTCATCATAGTAGCAAACGTAAAATAGTATCTTTCACTTGTTAATATTTGGAATCATCAATTATTTGTGCTTTTTTCCTAGTCAAAGTAAACAAATATGGAGATACTTGGGATGAGTGAAAAATTGCATCATTGGACCTACTGAAGGCATTTCAATATCCAGCTTCATCTAGGTGGTCATGAATATCTGCATGCTTTGAGCTCAGCAGCAGTCTTCATAAACACATTTAAAATTAGAACCTGGGTTCTTGTGGTTTGGCTTATTAAAATGATGTTTAAAAACAGATTTTAATGTGAATGTTGTATGAATGTATTCACCTTGAGGAACTGTATGAATGATGATATTATACCATGATCACATATAGTTTGTGAAATCGTTTTAAGTTACAGGGTAAGGTTACTCTCTTACGAAACTACAAAGAGATTGTCTACTCTAGGATCAGCATATATAAAAATAAGTGCATGTTGAATTGGGGTGGGTGGGGGGGAGCAAGCCTAATTTTAAGTGTTAAGCTTTACATCCAAAAATTATTAAAAAGCCTTTCTCCAGTGTTTGCTGTATTCACTTATTAATGTTTGTGGTAAATAAAACATAAAGGAACATGCATCTTTATTGATTTCATGGTTTTATTGTTTGTAATCTTTATTTTTAAGTATAATTATATGTAAGTGGTGTTTGTAGGGATAGGAAATGAAGTCATCTGTTTCTGAATATTTAATAGTATAATGAATGACGTGTGTAAATAAACGTAGTAAATAGCTCAACACCTTTAAGCAGTGGTCTATTTGAAATATCTGCAGATTCCACAGGAATAAAAATTTGGTAAACTTTGTTCATTACCCAATGTTTGTTTCTGGTTCAGGTGAATGGAAAATGAAACTGGTCTCATCTAAATTCTACTTACTCATAATTGCAGTTCTACCAGAAACATAGTGTTTCAGTTAGCTATTGTAAATCCCCAAACTCGGTGGCTTAAAACTGGTCATTTATTATCTCCATTTTCTCTGTGGGTCCTGATGAAGGAACGATTCAGCTGAGTTATTTGGCTGTGTGTCTCTTAGGTCATTCAGATGCTGGGTGCTTCTGATGTCAGGGAAACAGAGCACCTGGGGTTTGGCCAGGGCATCTCTCCCTTCATTTGGTTTCAGGACCTTGCCAACGCCTCTGGGTGGGTTTGAGGGCTCCTCACAGCATGGCTTGCTCAGGACAGACTTTTTTGTGTGACCACTTAAGGCCTGTAACAGGAATGGTCCAGCAAGCGTGTCAGAAGCTTCATTGCCTTTTATTTCTGACCTGGCCTCAGCCCTAGAGCATTTCTTCACAAGCTTGCCTTATCAAAGGGCAGGAACATAAGACTCCCACTTAAGTCACATTTTTAAAAGAGCAGTGGGATGGAAGGAGTTCACCATTTGGCCACAGCAATTCACATCCCTCTCATGCAAAACAAACTACTTTCCCAGGACCTCCAATTCGTATCCATTCTAACAACAGCTCAGAGTCTAGGAGCTCATCTCATCAGGTCCAGTTGTGGGAGAGGCACTTGGGTGAGAGTCTTTGAAATACCATTTCTCAGTCTTAAGACCTGTGAACTGAAGAGAAGCTACCTCACCTATTCATCCCAAATACCTGTTAGGCATCCTCACCACTCCCGTTCAAAAAGGGAACGAGAAGCATATGCCAGTCACTTGTCCATAGCAATTCTGAAGTCCCGCCCGCCTCATGCTGCCAGTTCTTTGTGAGGGCTTGGGCCTATCCCCGAGGGGTTCACCGTGGCTCCAGAGTCCTGCCTTTCCCATAAAGGTAGCTCATGTTTGCAGCGGAGTGATTCTCTCAGCCTGCTTTCTTGCCCACAGAAATTAGAGCTCCCGAGACCTCTTTTTATACAGTCCCTTTCGAAACTGATAAAATTTTTTAAACCTGTGGAATTCTGAAGTATCCATTTATAATGCATTCCATTGCACAAAAGCCATCCATAAGTCTGTTGGAGACTGTCTTTTTTTTTTTTTTTTAAGTAGGCTCCACACCCAGTGGGTGGGTGTGGAGCCCGATGTGGAGTTTGAACTCACAACCCTGAGATAAAGACCTGAGCTGGAAACCAAGAGTCAGAGCTTAACTTACTGAGCCACCCAATCGCCCCTGAGAGACTGTCTCTTTTCTACACTGCGCTTCCTGTGAGGCTGATGAACGACAGCCCTGAGATTCTAGAAACCTTGCACAGGGTCTACAAGGTTATGCCTGTAAGACCTGTAGAGGGCCCTTGTGTGTCTGAAATGTCCTATGAAGGAAGCAGTCACTTTATTTGCTTCAGGCAAGCTGTGAGGCAGAAATGAAGGTGTGCCAGTTCCAAACCTGAGCCTAACGAGCCCTGTGTGTTTCCACTTGTGTCTGTCGTGACCATCAGAACAGGCCCGACACTAGATGCAGAGCCACTGGCCTCAGGAACAGAAAATCTTAAGCCCCACTTTGGATTTGATCTTTGCCTGGAAACCATTTCTCAGTATGAGAAACTTCTGGATTTTTTTTTTTTTAAGATTTTAGATCTTTATTTTTTTTTAAGATTTTATTTATTTATGTGATAGAGGCAGTGAGAGAGGGAACACAAGCAGGGGGAGTAGAAGAGGGAGAAGCAGGCTTCCTGCCAAGCAGGGAACCCGACGTGGGGCTCGATCCCAGGACCCTGGGATCATGACCTGAGCCGAAGGCAGACACTTAACGACTGAGCCACCCAGGCGCCCCAAGAGAAACTTATCCTGGCTTAAGAAACTCTTATGGGCCTTTATATTTTCTACAAATCACATTTGGAAATGGAATAAGTTGTTCTATTACGTCTCTTCTGTCATTTTAGGCAGCTAGAAAAATCCAGCTGTCATCCTCAACACTGCCCAGAAGTCTTAGCTAGATCATTACGTTTGTTGGTACATCTTCTATTTTCTGTGTTGCCACAGGTTAAGAGTTTTGTTAAACTCGTATACAACTCATAATCAAAATCTCTTCCAGCTTCCAATAATGTTTCCCTCTCTCTTCTGTGACCCTTCCTTGACAGCCTTCTTGGAACCTCTTTAGGTTTCTGTTAACACCCTCATCCAGGCTTTTGAGGTTTATACTGATCATCTCCCCAAAGTCCTGCCAGCATCCATCTGCCACTCGTCTGCCAGACCAATGCTATGTGTTTTAGGTCTGTGTTAATGGCAGCACCCCACCTACAGCTACCCAGTTTCTGTATGAGAATTTGATAGAAAAGCAGATTGCCCTGAGTGATAGAGAGTAAGGGGTTTCTTACAGGGATTAGATCCTAGGTAACTGTGGAGCTGTGTGCAGGCTATTGGCTCTGCATCTAGTGTCGGGCCTGTTCTGATAGTCATGATAGAGACGCAAGTGGAAACACACAAGGCTCCTTAGGCTTAAGTCTGGAACTGGATGGCCTTCATTTCTGCCTCACAGCTTGCCTAAAGCAAGTCATGTGGACAAATCCAAGGTCGAGAGATGGGTAGTTTGCCTCGCTCACAGTGGGAGGGAAATGCAAAATTATGTGTCAAGAGGCATGGATATAGGGAGAGGTAAGAATTAGGCCAGGAATATAATCTACAAGGGCAGCAAAGGTAACCACAGCTGCCCCGCATTCCAGTGGCCTTTAGTTTGTAACTACCTCACCCAGACATGACATCACATTGTAGCAGAGCTATTGATTTACAGATCCTTTCTCCTCTCCTTTGAGGGCAGGGGCTATCTTATGGATGAATATACCCCTATTTCTTCTAGCCCATTGCCTTGCATATTATAGGTCCTGAAAAATATCTGCCGAATTAATGAATGAAGCCATTTCTGGGCTTCCAAATGGTAAGGCCTGTGGTGACAGCCCTGATTTTCAAAATCAGAGAGGTATTCAGGGAGGTGCCTTTTTGATATTTCTTTCCCCACCATCATTACAGTCTCCCTCCGCCCTTCCTCTTTTGTCACCTTCCCATTCCTACTGTCATTCCTGCCCCACCCACATCTAGAAATGAGAGAATCTCTCTAACAAACCAAACCACTCTTCCAGGTTTGTATTTTACAATAAATTCAAGACAATCATTCGGTCAACGAAGATTCTCTGGGCACTTACTATGAACGCCACACATTAAGAAACCAAAGGGGTTGACTATCTTCCAGTGCAGTTGACACAACACTCACCTGTTAAATCACAAATTTTAAACTGAAAAGGACAGATCATAGCATCCTGAAATCGAAAAAAACTAAGAGCATAATGAGTTACACTGAAGTTCAGAATGACCAGCGGTGTATAAGCATAAAATGGGAAGACTTGACCTACAGGTGGGTCATGTGAAGGCTTAGCACACGCCAAATGTGTGACACACATATTTTTGGACTCCGTTAATGGTAGTAGTAGTGGTCGTGATAGCTAACATCCCTTGAGTGGTTACTCTGAGCCATGCACTATTATAAGCATTTTGTAAGTATTTAATCCTCAGCGACAACCTGTCAGGAAAGCCTAAAATGTTTCCCTTTTACAGATGAGAAAAGGGAGCGCGGAGGCACAGAACAGATGCGTAGCCGACTCCATGTCAGTGCGCGGTAGAGCCTCGATGCGAGCACAGGACGTGATGCAGAGCCACGCCCGCTCTCAGTTCAAGTGCCCGAGATGAAAAGCACCATAATCCGGTTCTCTTCGGAACCGGCCAACCCATGTTTGCAGTCTCGGGTTAGAGAGACAGTACAAACCACGGGGTTTCCCCAGACCGGGATGTGACAGGGCTGGAAACCCACTCCAGTGGTTGAAGAAACTCAGAGGCACATGCGTTCCAATATTTAAAGGCTATCGTGCGAAAGAAGAAGAATCCTATTTTGTAGGTAGGGCCGGGTGGGACCAAAAAAAAAAAAAAAGCCCTATTTTGTAGCCACAGGGAAATTACAGGCTTAGGCTGACAAACATTTAAGATGTATCTATAGCTGGCCAAGAAGTCGGCTTGGGGCTGGAGATTCAGGCATAAGTAAAAAAGAGACCCGCTTCCTGTCCTGGAAGAGCTTCTGCTCTCGGGGCGAGGGAGACAAACCTGGGCTCCCGTAAGACCTTTCCGGGCCCGGCCGGGCCGCACCGCTGAGCAGCACGTCTCCTTCCCCTGGGGGTACGTACGTGGCTACTGGAATCTCACCAGCCCAGACCCAGACCGCAGAGGGGATCCCCTGCTTGTACTCTCTCTCTGACAAATATATAAAATGAAAGAAATGAAGTGGAAAAATTTTGTCAACTAACATTGCATTATTTGAATATCAAGAAAATTATCTACCTGATATTTTCATTGTTTTAATCAAGTCCTTCAAGATAAATGTTAGCAGAAATTCATCATGTTAGAAGAAAATAAGTCATCTATTCTGACAGCAAGGGAAGAAAATATCTTTTTTTTTTTTAAGATGTTATTTATTTATTTGACAGAGAGAGAGCACAAGCAGGGGGAGCAGCAGAAGGAGAGGGAGAAGCAGGCTTCCCACTGAGCAGGGACCCCAGTGCAGGACTCGATCCCAGGACCCTGAGATCATGACCTGAGCCGAACACAGACGCTTAAGACTGAACCACCCAGGCACGCCTGAGAATATCTTTGCTTAAGTGAGAATTTTTAAAAATATGTATTATATACATCTTTTTTTTTAATCATGAAAGTACTGCTTTTACAAACTGATGATCAGTGTGGTGATGAGTGTTGGTAATTTCTAAATGCTGAAAGACAAAGGCCACTCCTTTGACACATCTTCCTATAAGAAACAGACATTCTCCCCCACATACGTGTTTCCTAATATATGCAACAGATAATGAGGCAAAATATTTGAGATTTAAGTGAACTTCCAGTTTTTTCTTTATTGATTTCCTTTCACATCACTGTGATAAACTGTTTCAATGAATAACTTACCTGCCTAGGAAAAGCAGAGAGCCCAATAAATCCAATTTGATTCAGAAGAGTGATGAAGATGTCAGCTGTGAAACAATGGGCCCGTTCACCAATAATAGATTCGTCTTTTCCCAGTACCCCAAGACTGATTTCAACATTGACTTGCTGTGCTTAGCCAATGTGAAGATGTTCTGATCCCTGGGAAATCCGTTTCTGGCATGCAGGAAACAAATGTGCCTAATTCTGAATGGTTGCCAATCACTGAGAGAACAAAGAGTCACCAATTACTAGTTGTCCGAGCCAGGAGTTTAACTGCATCCACGAAGCTGGGATGCTGGCTCTGTGTTCTGATGGACAGAAACAGCACTTTAGCAACTGAAAGTCCAGGCTATGGAAGATAGCCAGGAGACAAAGTCAAAATCACTCCATTTCAGCCACTTAATGGTCACGTAAAAATAAAAACTCCCAATGTTTTTTATATTCAAAATAAAACATTTTATATCAATTATTAACTTCTGATGAGATTTCCCTTTTTACCTCCATGGTATAGGCTTCAAAATATATTAAGTAAAATACAAACATGTACACACACTCACACACACACACTCAATATAGAAGTGGTGACACATACATAAATCATTTTCCCGAGAAAATGCAAAGATGCAAGGGAAATTTTTATGTAGGGCTCAAACAACTTGCCATAAGACACAAGGTCCCCAGTGGAAGAGGTTGGTTGGTTGGTGGTTTTTTTCATGCAAAAAACCTGGTAGGAGGATACGAATCCACCTCCTGGGTTTGGATTGGCTTCTTCTAAGCTCCATATGGCCCTAAAAGTTTATCATTCCATGAATTAATTCTTCCAGTGATTGTTGCCATAAACAAACTGGTCCTTGGGAGAGGAGAGGCAGTTTGGAATGTCGTACATATTTATATACAGGCCACTAGCGGTATATAAAAGAGCCCAGTTCTTTAGTGCTGACCATGAGTATGCACCCATTAGCGAAACAAGTAACCTAAAGATGGCGGGCTTTGCCAAAACTTTACCATACCCATGAGGCATAAAGTCACCTGGGTCACTGAAAGGACAGTGGATTCAGATTCCAATTCTTTTAAGGGAAATATTTTTTTATTAAATTAAAAATCTTGGTCCCTACATTTTAGTAAATACTCCTCAAGCCTGTAAGACACAATCTTTCTTGCCCTTTGTTTCTACCTCTATACACATTGATTTTCTGTGGGGCATGACTTCCCAAGTTCCGCAACATTCATTCCCATCCTCTAGCAGAGATCTTAAAACCCTGAACAAATGCAGAGTGAAAGAATGGATCAGAGAAGACTCTATGGTTTTTCAACTTAGCTGTAATCAAGTTAAGGAGTGCCACATAATATCTTTTTTGGTGTGTGAATGCTCCGGACATGTTCTCAAATAGCAGACAAACATATACTGCTCAATTCAACGGAGGATATTCCACAGAAAACGTTTCAAAAGAGTGCGAGAATCACAATGTTTCTGTGCCACTATACGTATATTATTTTAAAGTACACTTGAAATTTTAAATGTGTCCAAACTCAGAGGTTTAAGAAACATCAAAAGCCACAGGTACAAGTTTAGGAAGCCGAAGGCTGTGAACTTCCCTTCTCATTTAATCCATGCTTAATTTTGCATTCCTCACAGGTGAGCAGGCAGTGCCTAGAATGGAGGCAAAAACAGAAGTTTGTGCTTTGACATTGGAAGGTCTAGTCTTAACACGACATTACTGGCAGACATTTTCTTTTCTTTCTTTCTTTCTTTTTTTTTTTTTAGAGAGAGCTCGAGTGTTGGGGGAGGGCAGAGGGAGAGGAAGAGAGAGAATCTCAAGCAGGCTCCATGCAGCGTATGAGCCCAACACAGGGCTCAATCCCATGACCCTGACACCATGACCTGAGCCAAAAACAAGAGTCAGACGCTCAACCAACCAAGCCACCCAGGCACCCCCTAAGAGACATTTTCTACATTAAAGTTCACAAGCCTCATTTTTTTTATGTTGTATACAAGAAACCCACTTTATTTATTTTATTTTATAATTTTTTATTGTTATGTTAATCACCATACATTACATCATTAGTTTTCGATGTAGTGTTCCATGATTCATTGTTTGCGTATAACACCAAGTGCTCCATTCAATATGTGCCCTCCTTAATACCCATCACCAGGCTAACCCATCCCCCCACCCCCCTCCCCTCTAGAACCCTCAGTTTGTTTCTCAGAGTCCATAGTCTCTCATGGATCGTCTCCCCCTCCGACTTACTCCCCTTCATTCTTCCCCTCCTGCTATCTTCTTCTTTTTTTTTTCTTAACATATATTGCATTATTTGTTTCAGAAGTACAGATCTGTGATTCAACAGTCTTGCACAATATTCACAGTGCTCACCATAGCACATACCCTCCCCAGTGTCTATCACCCAGCCACCCCATCCCTCCCACCCCCCACCACTCCAGCAACCCTCGGTTTGTTTCCTGAGATTAAGAATTCCTCATATCAGTGAGGTCATATGATACATGTCCTTCTCTGATTGACTTATTTCACTCAGCATAACACCCTCCAGTTCCAACCACGTTGTTGCAAATGGCAAGATCTCATTCCTTTTGATACAAGCCTCATTTTTTAAAGGAAAAATAGGAGCTACTTTTTGGTTTGAGACCCCCAGAATTTCATCCAAACAAGGGAGCCAAATAATTCTTCATGTCCATTGTTTTCACAATTTCCATGCTGCCTCTCGAATAGAAGCCACTGTGACAAGTGAGGGTCTTTAGAGAAATGTGTCCCCACCACCAGTCCTATAAATACTCTCACAGAAACAGCTATTATTCACTGAGCACTTACTGTCCTAAATAATCATTTCTGTTCCTTATAACATGTCATGAAAACAGTTCTGATCACCATTTTCTACAGAGCAGAAAACTGAAGATCAGAGAGTGTAAGAAACTTGTCCAAGGTTACCCAGCTTTGTAAGTGGTAGTACTGGTTTCCACCCAGGTACTCTAACCCAAGAAGGAATGTCCTTAAGTCCACAGTCCTGCGGCTTGCACCACTGAATGAGAATCATGATACACATTAACCTAGAAGGGTTCTGAGAAGTCCTGCAGCAGAGAAACCTGTTCCCTTTCTGTGTGGCCCCATGATGGTAGAAGCCATGTCTGCTGATGAAGGTATTCTTTAGGGACCTGCACAATGCCTTGAACACAGTAGGTGCTCACGAAATGTTGAGCAAATGAAATAGGTAATTAAGTTGTGTAATAAATAATTATTATTGAAGTTGAATAGCAACAGCTCAAAAATTGAAAGTTAAGGAGGTTTTTTTTCCCAACACATGGATATTTAGAAAATTGTTTAATATTATAAGTGGTGAAAAGGCCTTTGTTTAACTTTTTATTATTATCTTCATTACGATCCCTCAATCAAAAAGATTACAAACCTGTCGCAACAACATGGATGGAGCAAGAGTGTATTATGCTGAGCAAAATAAGTCAGTCAGAGAAAGACAAATACCATATTTCACTCATATGTGGAATTTAAGAAACAGAACGAATGAACAAAAGGAAAAAAAGAGAGAGAGAGACAAACCAAGAAACAGACTCTCAACTCTAGAGAACAAACAGATGGTTACCAAAGGGGGGGAGATGGGTGAAATAGGGGATGGGGATGAAGAAGACCCTTACCATGATGAGCACTGAGTAATTTCTAGAATTGTTGAATCACTAGATTGTACACCTGACACTAATATAACACTGTATGTTAACTGTACTGGAATTAAAATTAAAAACTTAGTAACATTTTTTTTTTTTTTAAGTTACAAACCTGTTATGCCCTGGACCAAAACCAGCCCCACGTAGCTGATCTTCAACGGAATGGAATTTACTCTGGCATACCCGTATGTATGACGCCTTTCCAAGGGCAAATCCCAAGATACCTGCAACTGTAAAAGCAGGTTAGGAAAGATAATTTTAAAAGTTCAGAATCTCCTCCATTAATTATCTCCTAGAACTTTCTACATAAACCAGAGTAATTTTTATGTGAAAAGTACCACGACAAATCAACGAACACAACCTCTGCGAATGAATCTCCCTATTAAAGAGCAAGATTGGGAAATGGAGACTTTCTGATCTCCTCCGTTTTGAGCTGGTGGTAGAAGGGCCAGGATAGAGGAAGCGAAGGTGCTGTCGCAGAGACCGGCAGCCAGAGGGAGGCCCAGATGGCAAATTAATGTCTGAGGCCACCACGGAAGGAAGGCATGGGGTTTGGGGTGTGGCTACAGGTAGCTTCCAAATTCCTTGGCAGGAAATCCCCTTAACTCTCTTGATGGGTTAGAGTAGGGGGAGCTGCAATCTATCTTGCCTGCAGGGAGAGGTCACGAGGCAGAGGGAACCTCCTAGGAGAGAAAACCTGCTCTTCTTGCTGGGAAAGAAGTTTCAGACTGTACGCTGGATTGCATCCTCTTTGTACACAACAGGTCTATGTGTAATGAGTGGAATAAGATGAACCCCCAAGGGAGCAGCTGGGTGGCTCAAATGGTTGAGCGTCTGCCTTCTGCTCAGGTCGTGGTCCCGGGGTCCTGGGATCGAGTCCCGCATCAGGCTCCTGACTCAGCAGGGAGCCTGCTTCTCCCTCTCCCTCTGCCTCTCCCCCTGCTCATGTACTCTCTCTCTCTGTCTCAAATGAATAAATAAAATCTTTAAAAAAAATGCAGGAAGAAAGCGTGTATTTAAAAACAAAAAGATGAACCCCCAAGTTTGTGGTAAATGTATTATTAGAAAGTCCCCGAGTTTTTATTTTATTTTTTTATTTTTTATTTTAATTTTTTTATTGTTATGTTAATCACCATATATTACATCATTAGTTTTTGATAGAAAGTCCCCGAGTTTTTAAAAAGTATTCATTTGCTAGGTCCATTATAGAAAAATATTTTGAAAAAACTGGCCAAAAGAAGAAAATTTAAAACCCCTAATGGCTCTATCATTCAGAGGCTCTGTTCTTGGTCTCTTCCCGTAGTATATCCTGCTGGTGCCTCTTGGTCCAGGCTTAAAGGCCTGTCAAAGGTGGGGTCCCTACCGCTCAGCCTTATATCAGAAAGTGCTGCGTGAACTAAGAACTGCAAAGAGACGAAAAACGGAGACCGATTTTTCAGAGAGTCAACACAGGCAATTTGGTTAGCCTGACATCCATATCTCCAGTTGCTGTAAACATCTTTTAAAAAAATGAATCTTTTTTTTTTTTTTTTACTTCTGTAACTTACACGCAACCTTGGGCATTGATCCAAATCTTGGGTTAGATGCTAAATAACCTATGGAGTAATATATAAATACATTAGTATTTCATTTTATAACTTATTTAAATTTATAAAGTATAAAGAAAACTTCAAAGTTTAAGATATACAGATTCTCAATCTAAGGAGATGATTTTTAAAGAGTTATAAGTTAATTCTTGATTGAACTTAACTCTCAAGTCACCTTTTTTGGCAAGTAGCAAGTATTAGCTTGCCAAAATGTAGAGAAAAAGAATATGAAACAGAAAATTCAAGACCTATTTAAAGATATCAAGGCGGGGTGCATGGGGAGGGCACCTGGATGGCTCCACTCACTGAATGCTGCCTCTTGGTTTCCATCCAGGTCATGATCTCAGGGTCGTGAGATCAAGCCCCATGTCAGGCTCCATGCTCAGCACAGAGTCGGCTTGGGATTCTCTCCATCTCCCTCTGCCCCTCCCCCAGCTCGCGTCTCTCACACTCATGTACTCTCTCTCTCTAAATAAGTAAAATCTTAATAAATAAATAAAGATATCAAGGCGGGGCTCCTGGCTGGCACAGTCCCTAGAGCACGTGATGCTTGATCTTGGGGTTGTAAGTTCGAGCTCCACATTGGGTGTGGAAATTACTTAAAAAATAAAATCTTAAAAAAAATAAAAAGCTATCAAGGCAAAGGCAGAGCTAACAACCTAGTTCCAAGCCATTAGGCATCGCCCCCTCCTCTTTTTAAGTAACTCAACAGAGAGTCTCAGTTTAGAGATTCATAGTATATCATAATTTTTAAATGAAATCATTAAAATCTGTGGTAGGCAGAATCATGGTCTCCTAAAGATGTCCACATCCCAATCCCTGGAAACTATGAAGAAAGTGGAATTAAGGTTGCTAATCAGATAACCCTTTTTGTTGTTGTTGTTAAAGATTTTATTTCTTTGTCAGAGAGAGAGAGAGCACAAGCAGTGGGAGAGCAGCAGGCAGAGGGGAAACAGGCTCCTGCCAAGCAAGGAGCCCAACATGGGGCTCGATCCCAGGACCCCGGGATCATGACCTGAGCCGAAGGCAGATGCCCAACCGACTGAGCCACCCAGGCGTCCCCAGGTAACTTTAAAACAGGAAGATTACCCTGGATTATTGGGGTGGACCCAATGTAATCAAGATGTAATCACCTTGAATGTGGAAGAGGGATTCAGAGAGAACAGACAGATGGCAGGATGAGAAGAACTTGCCTCAGTGTTGCTAGCTTTGCAGACAGAGGAAGGGGCCAGGAGCCAGGGAATGTGGGTGGTCTCTAGAAGCTGGAAAGGGAAAGGAAGCCCCAGACCAACCTCCCCCACCTCCCAAGGAAGGTAGCACTGCCAGCACTTTGATTTCTGCCCACTGAGACCTATTTTGGACTTCCAACCTCTGAAACTGAGATAAAAAATTTGTATTGTTTTAAGCCACTATGCTTGTGGTAATTTATTATAGTAGCCACAGAACACTAATACACTAGAACCTGGAAAAGTATATTTGCACACATGCAGGAGGCTGTAGATGTTAAGCAGTTTAATATCTATAAGACATAATCCCTATAGATTTCATGGCTGTAATTTTTTGTTGTCAGAAATGGTCTGACAAAGACTTGCTACTGATTGATGAATATATTTCTATAAAAAGGCTATCTTCAAGTTATAAAAATGAAATCGGGGCGCCTGGGTAGCTTAGTCAGTTGAGCGGCCAACTCTTGATTTCAGCTCAGGTCATGATCTCAGGGTCCTGGGATCGAGCCCCATGTCAGGCTCCATGCTCAGTGGGGTGTCTGCTTGAGGATTTCTCTCCTCCCTCTGCCCATCTCCCTACTCATGATCTCTCTCAAATAAATAATAAATCTTAAAAAATGAAATCATATTTAATAAATCACTTTAAAAACAAGAGTAATATTGAATGAAATGGGATTCTCCTAGATATATGACATATGTGGTCTTTGAGACCCCAAAAAGAACTAGAACATTTTCCCTCACGTTTGCTGGGTATAATACTCTTTTTAAAGTCCTGGTAATCAGCAGTGTTCAGTATAGTGGGCTTCAACAAAGTCAGGTGCCTTCTTGTTAGGGGCCCAAGCAATGCCTAAGGGGGCTCTGATAGATGGAGATAAGAAGAAAGAAGAGAGTCAGACAGGAGAAGTGAAGAATTCTTAAGAGGCAGGGAAAGACTATGTGGGGAGATGCTGGGCGGCTGCTAGTTCTCTGGATCTGTTGTTCAAATTAGACAGGGTGTCTCCTCAGGCAGATGCAGCCTCTTGTCACGATGAATGGCATGATGGGCAGAGCACAGTGGATCCCGCACCACGTATCTCCTCTTTGGAACCCGCAGCTGAAGGAGACAATCTGTCTAACCGTATGCGGAGCCCCAGGGAGATACAGGGACCCTGGCACAGAGAAAGGCACTGCATGGGTCGCCCAGGCTCTAACAACTTACCACACACTTAGTGGTTTAAAGCAACACAAATTTGTTACTTTATAGTGCTGGAGGTCAAAGGCTCAAAGTCAGTCTCACTGGGTGACTTGGTCCATTTGGGGGGCTACCCCAAAATATGGCAGACTGGGGGGCTTATAAACAACAGAAATTAATTTCTCAGTTCTGGAGGCTGAAGTCCAAGATCAGGTGCGAGCATGGTTGGGTGGGAGGGTCCTCTTTGGGACTGCAGACTTCTTGTTGTATCATCATGTGATGGCAGGGGCTAGGGAGCTCTGAGGGATCTCTTTTCCAAGGGCACTAATCCCCTTCCTGAGCACTCCACCTCCCCGCCAAAGACCCCATCTCCTAATACCACCGCACGGGGTGTTAAGAGTTCAACATGTGAATTCAGACCATAGTACGGGGCTAACATCAAGGGACTGGCAGAGCCACATTCTTCCTGGAGCCTCTAGGGTTTCTTGCCTTTCCAGCTTCTGGAGGCCAGCTACATCCGTGGACTCAGAGGCCCTTCCTCCATCTTCACAGCCGGCAATGCGGACTGAGCCCTTCTCGTGCTTGCTACCCTCTGGTTCCGTCTTCTGATCCACTCTTGCATTTTTCATGACCCTTTTGATTACACTGGGCCCATCCGGATAACCCAGAAATAATCTATTTCAAGGTCAGCTGATGAACAACCTTAATTCCACCTGCAATTTTAATTTCCCTTTGCCACGTAACCTAACAGAGCCACGCATTCTGGAGATTAGGACATCTTCGGGAGAGGGGGGACTTAGTCTGAAAATTAGCAAAAACCTGCACAAACAAATCCTTCACCAAAAAACAAATGCCACGTGCCAAAAAGCTGCCAGGAGGGTCAGTGAAAACGGGGCTTTTTTAAGTTTAATTGTTTAATGGATCGAGCATCTTACCTTGGTGGACCAGTCCTTGGGCGGCAAGCATACTCACAAGAGAAAAAGGCAGAGCTGCAGAAGAAAAATGCCCTTCAATATTGCTATTTTAAAACTTGGCACCTCATCTAGAAGTCAGGGGAAATTAGTCTATGGTTTTTTTTTTTCCTCTTATCTACCTTGGCAATGAGTTTTCAGTCATTTGCTGTTTTACTTATTCAACAAATATTTATTAAACATCGCATGAAGAATTTTCTCGAGATCTGCCCCAGTTGCTCAACCTGAAGCCCGGCATCAAGGGGACAAAACCAAACCCCATGCTACTCCATCTCTGCCATCTGATTTTACTGAGTGCCCACATGCACCAGATTCGGAGCATGACCTATGACAAAGGCATCTTAGTGCATGTGCCCATTTAGCCACTGAATTGGGGAGTTGCCTTTAGCCGTGGCTTTGGAAATTTTCAATCCTATGTAAAAGTTAAAAAAACAACACAATAAACTCCGTCCTACCCCATCTAGGACCATTCCTAGCTTTCATCTTGAGTGATACTTGGCTGCATAATTTGGATATGTCTATTTTCTGAAGATTACAAGATTATCATACTTGTGTTAAACATGGGTGGTGTTGAGCTATGATTTTTAAAACAGGCAAGTGGCTCTGGCAAAGGCAATTTCTAGTTCTATCAAAATGCAACACTTCTTCCAAGAGCAGAGAGCACTGATAAACATCTAGCTCTTCCTAGCAACCAAGAAAAATCGAATAGCAACCGATTTCTCCACTCCTATCTACCTGATGGTAGACAAATGGGTCATGTTGAAATGTTAATCTACTAGTGCTTACTTAAGTTACTGATTCATAGGCTGTAAAAAAAAAACCCATGGATTTCTAGGAGCACAATCAATAATCATAATAATGTATAATGAGTATCAGGTTCTAAAGTGTTACTTCCCAATCAATTGACACTGAACTTGACTGATCTGAGAAATCAAAATGCGTATTTCAAAGTTTAAATTATCCCAATGCTGCAAATCATTAAGACTATATCTACAGGCTCTATCGTGACATTTTCAAATGGCAGATTATGAATTTTTTAAATTGGAAGAGACTTGAACGCAACAGCGTGAATTCACACCCTCGCCTTACATAAGGCAGGCCTGGAAAGGGGAAGTGCGAAGTCCCCGCTCGGAAGTGAATCATTACCATCATTCTAACATGACACTTGGGCAGCTTACTGCAGCAAATATCGCGCTAACAAAGATTAAGAGGGGTGCAATTACCTCTCTTCCAGAAACTTTCTTCTTGACATTCTCGGATAATCTTCGAAATCTCTCCTCTCTGGATGTGCAGTTTTGATTTTGGACAATATAACAGACTCTGTAAGGAAAGTTACGTGGTGAGTTGACCAGAATCATTAGCAAAGCATCTGCTCTGTTTTCCCTAGAGGAGTGCAGGGAGGACTCTGGACTCTGGTCACACAGCGTGGGTCCCGTGTGACTGCCAGCAGAGTCATGACCAGTCTCAGCCGGTGCCTTCCAACCGGGAACGCTGGGTGGATTTAGGAAAGGAAAGAATCCCATCTGGAGAAGCCGAGTGCTTCACTGACTGGCGAGCATGGAACAGGTATGTGGTCAGAATGAATTACCGCTGAGGCCCTATTTTCTTTCTTACCTCCAGCCTCTGTCCACCAGCTTGCTCTCCGTGCAAGGCTACTTACTCCCTTTGCCTGCCTGGTGTCCTTAAGACCCAATTCAGTGTTGCCTCCTGGGTGAAGAAGAGATTTTCCCTAAAGCACAATGTTTATATATCTGGGATCCCATTCAGAGCAGGGGATTGCAAGTGAGCTCTTTATAGATCTGGTACTCCAATTCACCTATTCATACTTCTGTATGCATTTTAAGGCTATGAACTCATCAATAGACTGCTTTTTACTTGTCTACGTACTCTACTTTTTTTTTTTTTAAAGATTTCATTTATTTATTTGACAGAGAGACACAGCCAGAGAGGGAACACAAGCAGGGGGAGTGGGAGAGGGAGAAGCAGGCTTCCCACCGAGCAGGGACCCCGATGCGGGGCTCGATCCCAGGACCCTGGGATCATGACCTGGGCCGAAGGCAGATGCTTAACGACTGAGCCACCCAGGCGCCCCATACGCACTCTACTTTCTGCTTCAATAGGTTCTTTTTACACATTTATAAGTGCTCTGCACATAATTTCTGTTGGAACTGCTGACATGGTTGACATGATCATTTTTACTAGAGCTACAATATTCTTTTTATCATGTCGATATGCTATAATCTGGGCTAACTCCCATCATTTATGACCCTCCCCCTTCTGTGGGCTTATATTATTCACTCACGCTTACCAACATTCTCCGTTCTTGTTCTCCTTTGCCCATCACTGCCATCCTGGGGTTTAATGTGGCTCATTTGTTGGTATGCATTGTTGCAAAATGTTCATTGTTGCGGGTACGTGCATCTTTTTTATGCCAATGGCATTGTTTTATATATTTAATTTTATTAAAAAAATGTTTTCAACTCGGCCCTATGCTCTTAAGATCTAGCCATGTTGCTGAGACACCTAGGTCACTGTTCTAACTGCTAATTCTCCAGCATGCCTCCCAGCCCCCACCACCGCGTGTCTGCTTACAGTCTCCTCTGTGAGAACATCTGCGGATAGATACCTAGAAGTAAAACAGAGGACACGTGTGTTCTCGATTTGACTAAGTCTTGCTGGAGTTCTCCCCCCAAAGGCTGTATCCACTCACAACAGCAGTGCCTGAACGTTCCTCTATGCCTACAGAGCCTGCCTGAGAGCTGGTTAAGCTGGATTTGAAGCAGGTTAAAGAACAGATTTTGTAACATTTGGCATTATCCAATTTCCAAATGTTGATAGTCTAATAGGTACAATATAATATTTTATTCTTATCGGCATTTCTCTGATAACTAATGTGTTTGAGAATCTACATATTTTCAGCCAGAATGCTCTTCTCTTTGAACATTGAGGCAATCCCTCAACTAACCTGGGCTGTCATCTTGTGTTATACGTTGGTATACCACTTTTTCATTGTGGTAAAATACACAAAACACAATACTTACCATTTTAACCATTTAAAAGTACACAATCCACAGCACTAAGTACATTCACAATGTTGTATAGCCAAGACGCCCGTCTAGTTCCAGAACTTTTTCATCACCCCAAGAGGTAATTCCATACTCATTAAGGAGCCTCTCCTCATTTCCTGCTTCCCCCAACCCTTTGCTCCCTGGCAATCACTAATCTCCTTTCTGTCTGTATGGGTATGTAAGTGGTATCATACATTATGTTTCTTTTTGTGGCTCTCTTCTCTCCCTTTGCATAATGTTTTCATGGTTCATCCACGTTGTAGCATGTGTCAGTAATTCATTCCTCTTTGTGGAATCCATACATATTCCGTTGTATGGATATACCACATTTTGTTTATCCAGTCATCTACTGATGGATATTTGGGTCATTTCCACCTTTTGGCTATTGTGAATAGAGCTGCTCTGAACGTGAATGTCTAAGTTTTGTTTGAACACCCGTTCTCAATTCTGCTAGGCCATATGGTAATTCTATGCTTAACCTGTTGAGGGACTGCCAAACTGTTTTCCACAGCAGCTGCACCATTGTATGATCACCAACAGAGTAGGAGAGTTCCAATCTTTCCACATTCTTGTCAACACTTCTCGTTTTCTCTTTTTTTTCTGTTCTTTTCAAATTAGCACATTAAATTTTTTAATATAAATTATCTAGTTAATTTAAGCTAAATAAACTGAATGGTTTCTATTTTGAATTATGGTCATGCTAGTGATTGTGAAATGGTATCTCATTGTGGTTTTGATTTGCATTTCCCTAATGACCAATGACATCGATCATCTATTCATTTGCTTGTTGGCCATTCATATATTTTCCTTGGAGAAATACCTATTTAAGTCCCTTGCCCAGTTTTTAAATTGGGCTGTTTTTCTGTTGTTGAGCTGTCAAAGCTCTTTGTATATTGTGGATACTAGACCCTTATGAGATACATGATTTGAAAATAATTTTTTCCATCTCTGGGTGGTTCATTCATTTCTTTTAAAAACAAATTTTATTTAATTTGTTCCTTGCTATACAAGTCACATTTGTATTTCCTTGATTGTGACTTATTTATGTAGGACCTCTGCCATTTACCCCTTGGATATTTAGTGTTTTTCTTGAGGGCAGCTCTTTGGCTTTTGAGTTTGGCCTTGCTGATTTTGCCAGAGTTCTTTTTTTGGACCCTTTGTAGTAGATGTCAATGTGGATGATGTCACCATTTCTAGAGCACTTTCCCATGGGCCAGGCCCTGTGCCAAGCACTTTCCATGCCTGACGACAAGGTGGAAGGACCCTGTGGCACCTATGCCTTCGGAGTTCTATTAATAGCTCAAGGAGGCAAACCTCCATCTTCTTTCTTTACAACTCCTTACAGCACAGCACACAGATGATGGTGGTCAGGATGCGTCACAGCCACGAGAGGAGCTGTTCTCTCTCTCCACTCAGCTTAGTTCCTCAGTGAGCACTCCTTATCCCTCTGTAAATATCTCTTCTTGGTTCTGCCTGTGGCTGTGGCAGAGGTAGGGAACGCCTCCTTCCCTCCTCTGCCCCAAACACACTCTCTATATACAGATCCAGGGTCAGGGACCCTGACCACTACAATTGCTGGGAGTCCCGCAGTCAAGGCTGATGCTTCTGCATAGTCTTCCCCGGAGGAGTTCTGGTGATCCTTTCCTGTGTAGCCATAAATGTTTCATGGCTCTCTATTTCAAAGGCAACTCGGGTGTCTACACTCTTTTCCTTGTGACTTGATACCATTTGTCTGTTAGCCTCTCCTAATCTTTGCTCCTTAAACATCACCTCCTTCATGAAACCATTTTTAGCTGGAAAAGCTAGAGGACATGATGAACTCCATTTACCCCTCACAATACTTTCTCTTTGCTCCGTGCATGTGTCCCCAAAACATATAATATTCATTCTTCACTCTTTGAAAGACTGTGCTCCTATTAACACTAGGATTCTCAATCTGATTGCTAATTTAGTAGTTAAAGAACACCTGTCAGCAGCATATACTTAGTATGACTAGCCTTGGCAACAACAATGCAAAAACAAGCATGATGTATCATTCTGTTAGATTCAATTAAGAGTGTTTCTCTGCTCAAGGAAACTTCTTCAGTCATTGACAGCCTACATAAGAGTTAGTTAGGCTGGATTCTAAACAGGGAAGAGTAAAGGAAGGATTTTATAAATAAAAATTTTAAAGGCTCCTCTTCAAGGAAGCTAAAAAAAATACTTTCCTTCCCTATCCCATTGTCTCTGAACCCAACTAACAAAGTGCTAGACTGAAAACAGGAAGATGACTGCTCACGGATGAGGCTTAAGGAAAATCCTGTATGTTCCTCTTCAGTTGGCCGACTTCCGAATTAAAAATATACCTGCTTGCTTGGTGGTGGCAAATGGTGGCCTTTATCTTGGTTTCCATGAGTAGACACTGAAGCCATGGTGACCTGGTCCTTGCTTCTCTTCTCGTTGAGTGCACTCAACTTACCCGTGGACTCGGTGTCTAAGGAAAGTAGAAGGAGTCACTCTGCTGACTATGTCACACTATTCAGTCACTATGGCTGAATTTTCTATCAACCTTAAAAATTCAACTCACCAGTTCGGAAAACTTACTTTGATTTTGTCATCAGTCTTCATCTCCAACCGCCTGCACACTCATGTTCTAATGCCCCTCCCCCACCAACACAAACAAATTCACTCACCATGGGGACAGGTCAGATTTAGAGTGCAGCGAAATGACACACTATATACAGTTTTACTACTTAAAAATTGTGCCCTAAAAAAAGTTTCAATTCATGACAAGGGCACTAACTACAAGAAATATTTATTGAGTGTCTATTACGTGCCAGGCCAGGGAATACAAAGATGGAGCAAAGACAAAATCGGTGCTGAAGGAACTCCCAGTCTAATGGGGTAAGACAGACAAGTCAGCAGTTATCCAACATGCAAAGGGCTCCCTTGCAGCTACGTACAGGGTACAAAGTTAGGAGAGGAAGAAAGGTCTATTCTCTCTGGTCAGTTTTGAAGGCACCAAAGACTAAGACTCTTGAGCTTTCAAGGGATGGATGGACTCCAGAGGCAGGAAGACCAGTCTGGAAGAGCTGTAACAGTCCGGCCAAGGAACTCAACCAAGACCGTGGGGAAGGACAGAGATGATAAATTTGAGGTTGGAAACATGGGATTTGATGCCTGTGGGGGCATACATTGGAATTAGCTAGTGGGAATTAGAATATTTGATAATTTGGGTCTGGAGTTACAGATTAGGGGTAGGCAGGGAAGAGGAATTTGGGAGTTGCTGTCATAAAGATGACAGGTAAAGCAAGAAACATGAGTAAAACTGTCTACAAAGAGTATTGGAAAATGTAAACATTGAGGCCAAGGGAATACTGACAAGAGAAGAAAAAGGAAACAAAACAGGCCAAGGAAATGACTGAGAAGGTATAGTTCATAACAGAGGGGTGGGAGTTTCTGAAGGAGAGAATGAATTACTGGAACCACATGGCTCAAAAAAGTGATTTGGCAATGATGGGCATGTTTCCAGGTGGACCGTGAACCCTCCCAACCCACCCCTCACCCCAACAATGGACACTACACTCCGCAGCCCTGGCCTCTCTACCACTGATTTCCCTGCAAAGTGAACGTCTTGTCACACCCAGTTCTGTTTGCTACTAAACTGCCAGGCATATGAACCAAGGGGACCATTACAGAGGCAGCATGTGGATGCCCTACAGTGGGAAGTCCTGAAATCAGAGATCTGAATTCAGATCCTGACTCTACTCCTTGCCAGCCCTGTGCTTTGGGGCCAGTGATTTAAGGTGTCTGTGGCCTCAGCTTTCTCACCTGTTAAGTGGGGGGAGTGGACACAGCAAGGGGCTTGAGGGGCTGTTGCAAGGATGAGGGATGAAGATGCGGGATGAGGTCCAAAAGCCCCCGCTCGGCACCCTGCACCCAGTGAGCCTATGAGCAGTAAGTAGAGGGCAGCTTTGCCCTCAGATTGACTCTATTTCTTGCGGAGCTCCAGAAGTCTTTGCTGACCTAAAGCCCAAGTAGACAATCTTGGCTCAGGCGTTAGGCGGCTGCCTCAAATCCGAGAGCAAAGATACCCTGTCTCTGCTTTGGTGGTCAGGCCCCGTCGCACCCCGTGAATCACCAGCCCACATCTGAGCAAGCCTCCTAGGAGCGTCATGCCATCCGGGTGCAGCTCCCACCACCATGCCCTGGTCTGCTTTGGGGTCCCTCCACTTTTTCAGTGGTCGGGGCTGCAGGAGTGCCGACACCTGGGCAGGGGGAGGGAGGCCCGCAGCAGGATGAGGACGGGGTCACCGCACGTGCTGGTGGCGGGGGAGGGAAGCCGGCAATCAGCCGGCGGGAGTCTGCTCCATCTCCAGCCTGACTGAGGCCGCCCTGCACGACCCCAAGCTCCCACCCCCGCCACCCCGCTTGCCCGACCTGGGCCGGAACCCGACCCATGCCAGGAGGGATTGGCAGGGGCGACTCTGGATCCCCCCGCCCCTGAGGACCCCGGCAGTTAAGCGGCAGAGGGGTCCCCCCGCCCCCAACCCCGCTCCTCGCCGTGCCTCCCGCTGTCACCCGGGGAGGCTCACCTGCGCAGGTAGGGATCCGGAGCTAGCCGCGCCCGGGCGCCCGCCGAGCCGAACGGAGCCCGCCTCCTTGCGCGACCGCCGCCGCAGCCAGACTGCTCCCGCCGCCCAGCGCCGTCCCCGCGCCTCGCGGCCGCCGGGTCCTCACTCCCCCCTCCCCGCCGCCCGGTGCTCGCCTCCTGCGCAGCTGCCCCGGCCCCGGCTTCCTCCTCTTGTTCCGCCCCTCGGCTCGCTCAGCAAGCGCACCCCACCCTTGCCTGCGGTTCCTTTCTCCGTGGGTGACATCAGCACCCACCCGCAACTGCTCAGGCTGAAATCCGGCTCTTGGAGGCTCCCACCTCACTCCGGAGTCTTGACACCTGGTAGGTTCTACCTCCTTGGTGTGGTTCAGATAACTCCTTTGTCCCAACAAAAATGGCCACAACCATCTACTGAACGCCCTCCGGAGGTCAAGTGTTTACTTTCACTTATCGCCAAGCCTCTTTTTTTTTTTTTTTTTTTTGGAGGTGTAATTGACATATATCATTGTATTAATATTAGATGTATAACATAATGATTAGATATTTGTGTACATCGTGAAATGATCACCACGATAAGTCTAGGTAACATCCCTCACTATACAGTAATCCCCCGCCCCTAATTTTTTTCCCTGTGGATGAAGACTTAAGATCTACTCTCTTAGCAACTTTTTTTTTTAACTTTTATTTATTTAAGTAATCTCTACACCCAAGGTGGGGCTCCAACTCACCACCCCGAGGTCAAGAGTTGCATGTTTCTCAGGCGCCCCTCTTAGCAACTTTTAAATATGCAATGCAATATTATTAACTGTCGTCACCATGCTGTACATTAAATGCCCATGATTTAGTTTATAACTGAAGTTTGTACCGTTTGACCACTTTCACCCATTTCACCCATTCCCATTACCTCCTTTTTACAAACTTTAGAGTACCGTTATCCTCATTTTTTAGATTGAGTTGTGCAAGGCCACGCTGGGACTTCGGAGTGAAAGCCAGGTCAGCTTGGGTCCCAAGCCTTCTCTTTCTATTGTTCTCTGTCCGTGTGTGTGTGTGTGTGTGTGTGTGTGTGTGTGTGTGTGTTTCCTGCCACTCCCTAGGTCCGCGACACAGGAGGCGAAGCTGCTGGGTGCCTTTGTCATCTGATTCGCTCACCCCAACCTCAGCTGAGATTCTTCCCTGGGATAGGGGCACTGTAGATGGGTTGTAAGTCAAATAGAAGGCCCCCATCATTTCTCACCATTTCCTACTATCCTAACTGGTCTCTATGCCCCTGGCTTCAGCCCCTCCACACTGCTCACCCGCTTGCTGGCTCCTCCACCACCCACTCCTTCTCTCCCTTCTGTTCCTCAAGTTCACTCAGCTCTGTCCCCCTGAGGCCTGGCATGGAGCCTCCCCCTCACTGGAGGCCCATCCTCATCAGGCCTGTCCTGGCTTTTTCCTTCTCATCCTTCTCTGACTCTTCCTCGAGAAGCCTGCCTTGACCCCCACCCAGACGAAAGTAGGTCTCCCTTCGCGTTCATAACAGGATGCCCTGTTGTTTTCTTCCATAGCACTTATCACGCATTGTTCTTATATACTGATTACTGAGCTTATTTTTTTTCAAAGCCTGTTTGCTGTGCCTCAGTGTCATGTTCTTGAGCTACAGAACACGATGATACCTGTTTTTGTTCATTGTTGTATACCCAGCATGTCAGATATAGGAGGGGCTCCTAAATAGCAGCAGAATGAATGAATGAATGAATGAGCCTGGATTCAAAGGCTGTGTGTCAAGATACTGTTGTTTTGGAGGCTTGGTGTTCCCTGGTAGATCCCCCAGACCACATTACTCTTTGTGATTTACCAGTTTCTTTTCACCCCCTTTTCCTTTCCAAGTGAAAGGGGGTAGCATTCTATCGTTAGTTTCACACTGTGTTACCAGAAGTCAGAAGTAACCCTCTGCCATTTTTGTGGTATGAAAGGAAGAGTTTCTAATTGGTTTTGTTAAAAAACATGAACAGCCTCTCTGTTACTCGGAAGTCTGACTTCCCACAAATACCCTAGGGCCATTTGTCCTTTAACATCTTGCTAAAATCAAGTCGTGTCCCAACCCTCATTGCCACTTTCCATCAGAATGATCAGTTAATTGCCTCAAATAACTAGGAATTACCAGTATATATATAATGTGCAGGGATTATATGAATTTCTTACTTAGTATTTGTTGGGCAAATCTGGTGTACTTACATATTATTCTAGATGATTGTAGAAATAAAATAAACATGGATCCTTCCCACAAAGAATTTATCATTCCCCAAAGAATTAGAATAAAATAAAATATTTTTGGCCCTAGAAGAATATAACACTGAACAGAGTCCTTTTTCAGGCTTTGCTTCAGCATTCTATGGGGCTTCAGGATCATGACCTCAAAGTAGATTATTGCTGGCTAATGCTATGAAAAATGTGGTGTTTTAGAAAGTGCCAAAATGTTCACAGTAGGCTCCAGCTTGAACTCTTTGCATGCCCTACCCTGGCCTTAGGCAAGATCCAAATTCATTAGCAGGGCCTGTGTGATTCAGCTCCTGTGTGAGTCTCCAGCACTTCTAGCTCTGCTGCCTCCCCGCTCCCCCGCTCCCCCGGGGAGTGACTGATGTTCTCTCTTCTCACGCTTTTTGTTTTTCCTGTGCTGGCATCTCAGCCTTCCTCTGCTTCTCCACCCCTCTCTCATTCATTCCTAAAGACTGGGCCTGGGGGTCACCTCCTCCTGGCAGCCCTACCAGACTCAAGTTTACTTTCCCACTTTTCTGTGCTCTCAGCAATGGGTGCTTATTATGCCTCTGTGTGTGCATATATACGTATCATTCATGTATATGCATATAAACTTAATACTTATAACTGACATGTGTTCAACACTCTGTGCCAGGTTCTCTTCTGGTCTCTCTTCTTCTTCTTTTTTTTTTTTTTAAGATTTTACTTATTTATTTGGCAGAGAGAGACACAGCGAGAGAGGGAACACAAGCAGGGGGAGTGGGAGAGGGAGAAGCTGGCTTCCCGCGGAGCAGGGAGCCCGATGTGGGGCTTGATCCCAGGACCCTGGGATCATGACCCGAGCCGAAGGCAGATGCTTAACAACTGAGCCACCCAGGCGTCCTCTATTCATCTTTTAACTCCATCCTTGCAACAGTCCCATGAGAGAGGTGCTAATAACTTATTCAGTCACAAAGCCAAGAAGTGAGAGGACCAGAATTTGAACCCAGGCTCTGGAGCCATGTGTTTCCAAGCAATGCCACCCTGCTGTCCCTCAGCTGCCATCACACCGTGTTACAACTACTGATGTCATTCATTTTCACCTCTTGACTGTGGTCTCCTTGAGGGCAGGGACTGATTTCGTTCAGTAACTGGAACATTGCATGAACTCAGGAACAAATAAATGAATTTAATGAGGCACAGAATGAAAAATGAATAATACCTGGTCCTTTATTTCAAGGGGCCCACAATTCCTTTTTTGCCTTTTTTCTCTCCTTCCTTCTTTCACAAAATGGTTGCAAGGCCTTTAATGAAATGAATTAATCAAGTATTTAACAGGAGAACATAAATTTCATTACATACGTATGGGGAATCCACATAAACGTGCAATTCCTGCAGGGCCTTTTAAACAACCTGAGAAATAGATGTTATCATTCCAACTTTACATTCAAGAAAAATGAGGCCCAGAGAAGGTAACTAACATGACCAAGGTCATAGCTGAGAATTGGCACAGTCTGGATTAGGTGGTTGAATCCTGTGGCTTGGCTCCAGATTCATGCTCTTAACCTCTGCAATACGTATGTCATCAATAGCCTCACTGGGCAGAAGAGACCCATAAACAGATAACTGAACAAGAGACAGAAGTACAGAAAGAAGGGGCGCCTGGGTGGCTCAGTCGTTAAGCGTCTGCCTTCGGCTCACGTCATGATCCCAGGGTCCTGGGATCGAGTCCCGCATCGGGCTCCCTGCTCCTCGGGGAAGCCTGCTTCTCCCTCTCCCACTCCCCCTGCTTGTGTTCCCTCTCTCGCTGTGTCTCTCTCTGTCAAATAAATAAATAAAATATTAAAAAAAAAGTACAGAAAGAAGTTTGGGCAGGAAGGGAGGGAGGGGGACCCAGACAAGCAGGGTGGGGGTGCCGGGAGAAAGCACTGTGCGGTGTGATTGGTCGGAGAGCGGGCCCTCGGTGGGCAGGGTTTGGGGGGTTGGGGGGGATTAAAAATGCTCCAGGCTCACTCACAACCACCTGCTGAATAAAAGGGGCTCTGGCTGGCTTCCTGGTGGGGCAGTTTCCTGGGGGCGGGGGGGGGCACCTCTGATGACTTCAGAGGGACCAGAACCGCTCTCACCCTCCTGTCATCCCTTCTCTTGTCCCAGCTCCCCACTTGCCATCTGCCTAGTTCTGCGAGAGGCTCTGTGAATCACAACATCTTGTGAGTCACTCATTCCCTCTCTAAGGAATAAATAACGGCAAGTCACACAAAAGCAGAGCAGTCAGGTTTAAATGAGGTGTCACACAAAGATGGAGCCTTGGGTCTGCTTTCCTTTATGAGCTGACGCTGCTGTCGGGTGAGGCGTGGTGCCAGGCTCTCAGCTGGAGCTTTTGGGCCATTGACCAGAGCCCTGGCTGCTTTAGGTTCATCTGGATTTGATGTTGAGACTGCCAGACTCAGCAAGAGAAAAAGCAGCCCCCAAAGATTTTTTTCTCCAGCCCAACTGGAGAAAATCTGAACTATGAAGATGAGTGCACATTGATTTGGCCGTGTCCCCAATCTTCCTTGAGAACAGTTTATTTCACTCGCGGAATGCCGATAATAGACATCCTGAAAGTAAATGTAGTGCTTTAACATTCCAGAGCTGCTTTCCGTAGCCTATGACATGCAAAGCCCTTTGAGTGCAAAAACCCAGAATGCTCCTGGTATAGCAGAGAGAGTATGTGGTCAGACAGAGGCCAGTGATACCTTGTGGCAGATATTCTGATCTCGTTCCAATGGCGCGTTGTCATCTTTGTGTCCTGGGGTCTGCCCCAAGCCTCTCTCTAGAGCAGCCTCCCGCCTGGCTAGAGTCAGGGCAGGAGAAGAGCAATTTGATTTTA